AACACGAGCCAGCGTCGGCCAGCGACCCGTAGCCAGTATCTAAACAGGTCATGTTACCAGCCCCTCGCTGGAGAAGTGGTGATAGGCTAATTGTTATAAAGTTTTAATAGCAAGGTACCAGTTTTATTGAATTTATAAACTGCCCAGAACGACTAATATTGGTAAAAGTGTTTAATTCATATTTTAAAATACTTATAGTAATGTTTTGGAAGAATATTGTCAGAATTTACGATGTAGCTGAAGCCTCTAATTTTTAACATGACCAGGTTCAGCGAGATGCCTTTGATAGTTTTTATTTATTTACACATGACTTCATGGCAGCTTGTGTTTCGCTGTTTATGACGTAATCATCATGACTTTATCGTCGACATACATATTTTATGCTTAAAATTAAGCTCAAATAATCCATTACTCATAATTTGTAAACTGGACAACCAAATGCTTAAACCCCAATCGTTAATTCTTAAAAAAAAGTGAATAAGTGTTAATCAATATTGGGCTCAAATAAGCAGCCGTCAACTAAAAATTAATCTTTTTGAGCATCCCTTGTATTTGTGGATGCGTTCACCCCTCTCCTCCCCCACCTCTCCTTCCCCCCACCTCTCCTCCCCCACCTCTCCTCCCCCACCTCTCCTCCCTCACCTCTCCTCCCCCACCTCTCCTCCCTCACCTCTCCTCCCTCACCTCTCCTCCCTCACCTCTCCTCCCTCACCTCTCCTCCCCCACCTCTCCTCCCCCACCTCTCCTCCCTCACCTCTCCTCCCTCACCTCTCCTCCCTCACCTCTCCTATCTCGCAGTTTCCTTGCCCCCCCCCCCCTTTGCTTTCTCCCCGCGTCACCCATGCTTTATCATCACTCAAATAATTCCCTATTTGCTGCCTTTACATTTATGCGGTCAGATGATTATTGTTTTGTATTTTTGTCAACCTGGCGCCGGCGTGGTGTGACGGGTTACATGAAGCAGAAAAAAGTAGTTAAGAAATAAATATATAAAAAAAGCTGATCACATCATTTTAGATTTTTTATAGGTTGTCATTAATAGGTTAGAATAGTTAGGTATAAGGACTGATTAAATTTTACTACTACGTTATTTTTTCTTAAACAAACCCAACCCAACCAACGCCTAACTATACATTGAATTTTATTATATAATAATATTTGAGAACAAACCTATTTTTGTTACACAGTTCGTTAAAATTGATGAATACGCTTCTGGGGACGGCCGCTGCTTTAACGAGCCTGGCATGATGACAGGTTGCAGAATCCACACTGCAAATACACACAATTGCTAACAGAAGCAAAACACCAAACCTATCCAATCGTAGGCTATTAATGTGTTTATAAATTAGAATTAATGTTTATACAAACACGAAAACATTTTTTTTTAGGTTACTCAGTACGTTAACATTTACAAATGCGTCTTAGAACGAGTCTGCCACAGCTTTAGACGAGCATAGGCAAGGCCATTATGCATGCAGTGTAAGTTATCCTATTCAAGGCCGACGATGTACGGTTTAGGCGCTTGAGGATTGATATAAATTTACGTTTAATAATACATTTCTGGAGTAGGCTATAGAAATGTAAAGGAATGTCGTTGCAGATCATACGGACTTTTTATTTTTTTATTAATACATTAGGTACATCTGCATTAGTGCAGCTACCCTAGACTATATGAAGTGGAGTACAGTGTGGCAAAAAAGCTAACTAGGTGATGCTAAAAAATCCCCATCACACAGGATGGTTAGTCATACAGGACCATATGTTTAGTAGCCTGCACTGGCAAATTTTGGGTACACTGTGAGGATATCTTCAAGAATACGAGAGTGAATAAAGTAATTGCAAAGCTCCAGGTACCTTATGCCAACTGGTCTGATAACCAATAACTTGTCATGTCTCGACCTTAATTATAGAGATTTCGATAAGCCTAACATATTCCTCTCCCCGACAATTGGAAACTAAATCTATCCGTATTGTGCATACTAAATCCCACAGTAAGTTTAACACTAATTTATCAATCTGTTCTTAAATAAGACCGCTTTTCACCCGCAAAAAAGTGATAACGTAATGCAAGTTTAAGGGTTAGTAAAGGTTAATGTTCTTTTTAACGATTTATTCACTTAGGACAGTTAAGCGTGTCTGGGTACAAGTGACAGGATTAACAACCTAGCCTCAAAGAAGGCTGTTTTCAGCGAGTTTTCTTCTGGAGAGGGGAGGGGGTGAAGGTGTTCAGCTCAACCTGTCCTCTTAAAAAGAACGTCGCTTTTGGCCGTTTACCAGTATGGCCAAATATGGACGTAATTTGAAAATGAAAAAAAAATGAAAATAAATTTGGGATTTTTTTCAACAACAGTAAGTTATGGGTCCTCTGATAGGTTAGGTGGGCAGGAAATTCTCATAAAGTTTTAAAACTGTATAAAAAAACGTTAATGGAAAGTTTCCTCTTTTAAGCTTGCCGAGTAAGCCGGACGACTCAAACAGAAAACGGGACAGTACGTCACGTTTGTGAGTCGATTTCATTTCAAATTACGTCTAAATTTGGCCATAGCGCGCATACCAGCGAAAAGTGACGTTAGTTTTAAGAGGGCGGGTTGAACTGCTGCTGTGGAAGTACTGTATGTTCAATCACAAGATGCGACGCTGCCAACTAAACTCTCCCTTCGTTGGGGAAATTGAGAGAATTATATATACTGTATAATATAGTTTCCCCTAATGTTCTCTCTTTGTAAACAATCAGATATGTAATTGTATAACCTTGAAAAATAAAGTGTGCAACATAAAAAGGGGGGGAGGGGTGGTAGAAGTGAACACTCATACGTATTCAGAGTTAAATGGCAAGTTTTTCTCTGAATGCTGTGTGTTCCCTTCTTTGAGGCTGTGGGTCCCCACAGTTGCACCAGAGGTGGTATGTCTTTTATTTTATATATTTATTTATTTGTATTTATTTATTTAGTTTGCAATTGAGAAAAGGGGAAATCTTGGAGACGCCTCAGACCAATCCTTTCCTGCCTGTCAATAGTCAGCCGCATGTGCATAGCTGTCAGTCAACCAAACGTGGAGGACCCCTCGTCCTCCACTCGCCAGGCTGGTCATTCACAAATATTTACCTGAACCAACAGTGTGATTTGTGAGGAGTAAAAGTGTACGGCCCGTTGGTGGTGGCCAGGAAGACAGTAGAAGGCCCTCTCCAGGTTCGTAGTCTGGTCAGCCAGGCTGTTGGACCCAGTTACTCGCAGTCTAACATAAATAACAGCATAGTTGATCAGGTATCCTATCGAGTTGTTTATCAAGTAATCTCTTGAACACCGTGAGATGTCGGCCAGTTATGGTCCACATGTTTAGCGGGAAGTGTAAAACAATCGTGGGCCATTGATGTTGTAAAACTGTCTTAGTGTACCTATTGCACCTCTGTTTTCAACTATTTTTCGTTTTCCTTAGTCGTGTTCAGTTCCACCAGGTGCAATTTTTACTTCGTCTCTGGTTATTTCAAAGTCCTCCAGTGTTGGTTTGTTTCCATTATTCCCCCTCCCCCTAAGCTCGGACACTTTTTTTTTGTGAAGCCTCCTGGTACCTAAAGTTGTTTCTCACACGCTCCTCTCGTTCTCATTGCATTAGTCCTCACATATCATGTTTCATCGTTTGTTCCTACATAGTTGTTTTCTTTCTGATGTGGCTTTGAAACGACAAGTTGTCATTGCTTTAGACGCAATGTTGTTTTCCAGTTGCTTTTCAGCTTCCCTTCTCACTCAGAGGTACTCATTCCTGGGTCTCTGGTTGCCCTCTCCCTAAGCTGTTTGAAGCAAAGGTCAAAGCCAGTGTCTTCGCCGGACCACAGATAAATATGATCCAAGGAATCACGGAGCACAATGAGTTCATGGAACACAAGTAATTCCCCCAAAAGTTCGATGATATAATGTCAGTCTTCTGATCTTATTGGTAGTTTGTCCAATCTGAGGATCAGCTAAGGTGACCGACTCTAGAGTCATCACTTGAAATTGTTCCCTAGAACCCATATTTAGTGAAAAGACAGCGTCTGTAGCAAGATTCATGATCTAATAAAGAGGCTGTTGTCTGACCTGAAGTAAATTCGCCAGCATATAAGAATAGTCTTGGTTTCTAGGGTCTTGGAGCCAGAGCATTTAGCCCTGTGACAGCACAGATACGTTTCTGCAAGTTTTGGGGGTAGAAATAGTCTACTCTATCCCTTTGAGATGTATTTTATCGTCTCAATAAACGTGCTTGAATTGCAAGTTTTATTTCACCTAATTTGATGTTGTGAACTGTCTTAGCATACCTATTGCACCTCTTTTTCTTAACGGGGCTATTTTGCATTTTCCTTAGTCATGTTCAACTCCACCATGTGCTGAATCTGATGGAACTGCTGTTCACCTAGCAGTACTCACTCGGGTGTTAGTCAAATGTTGTGGGGTTGCCTTCTTGGAAAGGTCTACTGCTGGCCTAAGGGGATCGTGATAACTGTAACAAGCTTCCTTGTCCTCAACAACGGACAAAAATATGACATAGTCTGGAACACACTTACTGATAAACAAATTGAACTCGAGGGGAATTTATTAAGAGTACAAAAAGGTGTACCTTGTTGTTAAAGTTTCTGGAAGATGACACCGTATGCAATAAGTACCATATTGTGGTAACCAGGGTAAGAAGTGCTTAATTTCAGTTTGTCGAGTACAATGTCCACTTTATATAAAGGGGGAGATATACAGGAATGCAGATATGTCCATATCAGGTGAACATTGGTATCTTTCAGTGACTTGCTTGGCTAGTAGTACTTAAGATTCAGATAGTACCTGACCAGATATGTGTAGCATATGTCAAAGAAAGAGTAGTTATTGTTCCCCGCAGATAACCCCAGTATAGATTGAAATTCCTTCCTATTTTCATGTACATAGTACGTTACTCTTTTTATCCACAATTGCTTAACACGCCACCCGTAGTTTCTTACTGGCAAACAAGTTGAATCATGACCTGCATTTATCTTTCAGGAAGGTTTCAAGATGCCATCAGGAAAGTCTCTCAATGTGGTCCAACGAGAGAGCTTCTTCGATGACTCATTCTTCAAGGAGTCCTGGGAAGACTTCGAACGAGCTATTCAGTCAGTCTTGGACAAGTTTGATAATAAAGGACTCAAGGTAGGTATTTGTCATCAACGATGTCCCTATTAAATTTTTTGCTATATATAATATATACATTGGTGGGTACTCATACTCCGCCCAAGTAAAACAGAAACAAGCAACATTTAGTGGGCCAGCCAGAGGTTTAGGGCCCACGCAGGAATATCCCTGCAAAATAAAAAATAAAATATATAAAAAAGGAACAGACGACTGCTGACTATTGTTAGCAGGCTGAGAGCTCTTTCCCATCCCGCAGCTCACGGTAATCCTGAGCCACTAGTTTCCCTGGAAACTAGTAAAACCCGCCAATCGTTTATCAAGCAGGTACCCAATTAGTGCTGGGTGAACAGCCGTACAGTTAAGAATTGGCGCCTACTCAATCCTATCGTTCTGTATAGTGGGCACCCCATATGATGCTTTTGAGTCTTTTAGTTTTGTAAATGCTCTTCCTGATTACATAGAATGTTACGGTTATGAGTATATCCCTTAATTCGTTTTCTTCACCGCATTCAAACATTCGTGTGGGTAATGGGATGTTATCTAATCTCTCTGGTGTGAACACTGATATAAAGTATTTATTCGGTGTTTGCTGCCCTTTTATCGCCTATTATAACTTAGTCTCATCTTTATAGAGTCCAACAGAGCCTTTTATTTTGGTTTTACAGGTACTTCTTAAAATTACTTTGGATCTTTTATTTATATTTTGGGCAGGTTTTCTTTTTGTAGTTTCTTTTGGCTGATCTGATTTCCTGGGTGGCTGAATTTAATGTCCTATTTACAGTACATTATCTCATAATGTGCATTGTTCTTTGTAGATATATACCTTCTCCAGAGGTTCTGCTTAGTTATTAAAGCTCTTTTGCTTTGCATCATTTGCCTGTATCATTCCCTTTCCCTTTTTTGGCACACATTTTTGAACGAGTTTAGTGATGACCTTCATGAAATTTTCCCATGATGCTTCCATGCCATGGTGTTGTGTTCCATGCCATCAGCTTCCTCCAGGTGTTTGTTTTGCAGTTGCTTTCTCATTTCTTGATAGTCTCCTCAAGGGTAATCTAGAAAGTCATCATCCTGGACTTTTATGTGGGTTTCTGTTATTGTAATCTATCTTTAGAATATTGTGATCACGCAAAGGGGTGAACTTTTCCCCAACTTGAATTTGATTGATTAGGCCCTCTTCAGATGTTAGCACGAGATCAAGAATGCTGTTAAGCTCAAGTTGAATTGGGCTGGACGGTAGAACGACGGTCTCGCTTCATGCAGGTCGGCATTCAATCTCCGACCGTCGTTCCATTCCATTCAAGTTGAATAGCTGTATGAGAAAAATCCTGTAGCAGGTCATGAAATTGTTGTTCTGCTTGTGGTAGATTTATCCAATCTATTGTCTAGTACTTAAAGTTCCCCATTATAAAGATTTGGGTTTCGGATGCTGCAGTGATCACACGCAGATCAGCAACTTCCTTTGCTGCTACTATGTCAGTCCAGTAGCATGCTCCCACTGTCAGTTGAGCTAGTATGTTGCACAGTACAGATTCTGATCATTCCATGGTGGGAGATGGAATTCCCTTCAATTATGTCCTCTCGTCCTCATGTTTCACTGATGCCAGTGATGTCAGGATTCACAACCTCAGCCTATGCACATAATGCATTAAATTTATTCACTAGGCTTCTGACATTTGTGTAGAAGAAATTTAAACTCCTAACATTGTTTCTAAGAGGCTGAGAGATTGCTCCTGCTTAAGTAGGAGCAGAAGCTTTTGACACCTGACCAAAATACAGGTGTCAAAAGACCATCATATCCTCCAAAAATAATAGTCCTGAATTTATAGCTGCTGTGGGTGGAATATACAACATATGGACTGTTGTACTTAAAAGGTCTATGGTTTGAACTACTGTATTGGAATTGTAAAGCACAATACAGAAAGTGAGACACTTACCATAAACCTAACATAACCTGTCCTAGGCCAAACATGCAATCATAGGCCTATTTTAGTACAAATATATAAGTGCTGTGCTATGCCTAGGATGTGTTAGGTGTGATTACTGCCTTCCTTCTCCAGTCCTCTTCAAAAGTAATTGTACAAAACATGGACCTATTTTTTGGTGTATTGGTCTATATTTTGTACACATCATCCACAGTCACTATAGATGCACTCACATTTTTGGATGGTGGGTATCAAGACAGAAAGAACTTTGCAGAATAGTGTAGCATCAATCATTTGCAACACAGACGAAGGCATGATACCAACAGTGCATTGTTTTCACTTGACAATCTTATATATAATTTTTGTAACCAATAATAAAATAAAACTTGTTTAAAAGATAAACAAATCATATGTTCATTGATATTAGTTCCAATGTTTCCAGTTTGATCTGAAGTTTTTGGTTTCATTTATAGTAATATGGTATTTCTGCTTAATCATTCCTTCTTTACTATTCAGTATGGTAATGTGTGTTTGATATTTTGTATATAACTACTGAGAACTCTCCTTCAAAGTGGTGGTTATATTGGATTTGCCTAGAGACTTTAGAGCTTCCTTTCTGTATGCACAAACTTTCATGGAATATTACTCTTGAATCTTAATATCCCACATCTCTCTTGCTTTCTCTATAGTCACTTACATACACGTCTTCATTGCTTATTCTGCCGCCTTATTACACTACTGTATATGCATTTCTTAAATAGTTTTAAAAGCTTTATTTCTTATAATTCCATGCTAAATAAATAAATAAATACATGCTCATATGTTTCACTCTCACAGGTCAGTCATTTATAAACTCACATTAGCTTCAATTTTCCTTCATACATGATTTACCTACTACATACATATGTTGTAAGAGTGTAGGGTAGTCTAATAATTTTAGAGAACCTAACACAATCTATCCAATACTATATAATAAATTATACAAATTTCCAAGGAATTCCAAATCTGTTTTTAACAAAGACATACAAAATTATCTAATTATGGAATGAATCAAGTTGGAGAGGATGCCTTTTATTAAAGTTTTTGACACCATGTAGGTTAATCAAGGCTCCAGATCAGAATGCCGTGATGTATACAGCAAGATTCGTACCAGCAAGATCGATGAGGACCTTTATGCTTCACAGGCTCTCCAAATAACAGAAAAGGATGGTAAATTCCAGGTAATTATTACCAAGATTGAAAAGCTAGTTCTCCTATTTATTGCTCAGAGATGCTGATAGGAAAGGTAATTAGGCATTGTAAATCCCACTGTAACCCTAAAAATCATTTGTGATGTTTACTAGCCTCATATGGCAAGTCATCTTGTCACATTGCTAGATACTAATTCTTTATATTCATTTAGATAGTATAGTATTATCACAAAAGGTTTAAATTCCTGTAAAATTTCTTGTACTTTCAAATTATTGATATTTAATATTTTTTGTTAGCTTTAGTTTACTCAAATTGCTGAGCACAATTATCTTAGCTAAATTATACTCGTAGGCTGTAGATTAATGTAAGCCTTATTGTTAGTGCAATAAATCTTAGAGCTTGTAGTGTAAGAACGTGACACACCCACCACACCTCACTGTGGTTTCAACAGGCCAGCAATGCAATTAAAAAAAAATTGGTATACTGTTTATCATGGTAGAATATTTATTTACTGGCATTGTTTATATATATAACTGGCCTCCTCAGTGAGGCATATGCAGTACTGTATTTGCAGCTTTAATTGAAACACTCACAAGAGACTACCTGACACTGAAATATGGATGCCAGAATACAATCTTTTCATGTGTGACAGAAAACATGGGTTACAGGGCAGGACTATTTATTAAAGATGATCACCTGCACTGAACTACTAAACACAACAAATTATACAGTAGACATACTTATGAAAAAAAAGTAGCTATTATCCTTGTATATGGTACAAGTCATATATGATATAAGATGCAAGTCCTAAGCAGTTTAAAGATAAACTAATAAAAGTAGAATACTGCTTAGAAAACTTAACAAATCTTCCCCCCCAATAATCATTTTTGATTTGCGAATTCAATCTACGACACTTAAAATGGAAAAACACTTTGCAAATACCTCTACTGTATCATTATTTCAGAAAATTTAAGGAAGCAGTGTAAACAAAGTCGCATACAATTGACCAGCAAATAGAACCAACTACCTAGATCTTATTTTCACAATGATAGTGATAAAAAACAAGCATAGACAAAGAGACCCCATGCAGCTCTTCTCAAATCCAAGAGAAGGAGAATTCAGTAAATTCAATTTTGATAATCTTAATAACTGGGGCTTAATAATACAAAAGATGACCAAAAATGTTAGTACAGAAGTGAACTTACTCTGATCTAGGGTGGAATATTATTGCACTAACAACCCCTTTCAAAACTGAATTTACTGACCTGGAGAACTTGCAGGTCTACTACCTTCACTACCTAAATCCACTTAATAAAACATTTAATTACTTCTAAATCTACATACAGAAATTACTTACTTGAGAGACCAGGCAGCATGGCAGACTGTGCAAAATTGCCTTTTTGAAAAGCAGAGGTGACACACCTCTGTTAAGTTAAGGGGGCGGAACTGTCAGGGGAACGTGCCAAGCCGTTACAATTATATAGCACTTGGAAGGGATAAGGATTTGGGATGGGATGAGGAAAAGGAATGGTGCCCAATCACTTGCACAGTCTGGGGTTGAACGCCGAGCTGCATGAAGTGAGACAGTCGGTCTATCGTCCAGCGCCAGTGGTTGGGCAGAGGTGCACTGAGTATACTAAGAGCTCTATAAATATTAGGGCCCAAGACTTTTCAACACCCTCCCTCAAAACATAAGGGGACATAAAGATCTGACTGTTTTCAAAAAGGAAATGATAACACCTCCAAAGAATATTTGATCAACCAAGATGTAATTTATGTGTCAAACTGTGAGCAGCAGCATCTAACAGTTTGGTTGGCCAGACCACCAGTCAGAAGGCCTAGTTTGAGACTGGGCCATGAGGACAGAGATCTGTGTAACCACCTCAAAGTAATCATTTACTTTGATTTTATCAAACTAATAATTAGTGATAAATTGCTAAAAAATAAAAATTATCCCCAAATCTGGGTTAATCTCTTTTCCAAACCCATTCTGGAACAATATACTGTACCAAAGTTTAGATTTTGGAGGTTGCACTCTGTAGGGAAATAGGATACTTTTAATGATAATTTTAAGATCGAAAATAAACTGCAATTTTTTTAGTTAAAAGTTCATTACATTGGTTATTCTTACACAGCAGAATAAAAGTACTGTATGTGATACCTTAATACCAAAGGCACTGCAAACAAGAATGGCAGATCTTAAAAAAATTGTGCATTGAACATTAACTCTGACACACATGTTCTTTTAGGCTGTGATGGATGTGAAGGATTTCAATCCAAGGGAGCTGCAGGTGCGTGCAGTGGACGATCGAATTGTGGTGGAAGGATCCTACCAGAAGGTTAGCAATTTCTGTTTGTTGCCTGTTATTGAATTACTGTACATGTACAGTATTGTTAGAATTACAGCACTTTACAGTAAAAGTAAGCAAGCAAATACAGTAATTATTACAAAGTGAAAAGCTTGTATGGCTGTACTGTATACTATAGTACAATACAAGAAAGAAGTTATTAGGAAAATAACATTTGGCATTTTTGCTTTTTACAAGTGGGAAATGAAAGTTAGTGTTTCTATTTGATATTACAAAAATGTCAAAATACATTTTAGTGATGAATGAGTTAGAGTAAGCTGACAGGCACAGATTATCCTAATGATAGCACATGTCCATCAATATAAATTAAGTAAATAGATTAGGAACATTAGAATAAAGGAAACTGCAAAAACACCAAAACGCCTTTTGGCCTATCAGTGGCAGCACACATTTATATCCACCCAAGCTCACTCGTATGTCTAAATCTACACTTGAAACACTCCAGTGATCCCACTTCACCTCACAACTAGGTGAGTACATCTATTATGTTCTCGACTAATTTGTTCCATAAACAAACCAGTATCTATACTTCTCCAATTTATTTCCAATGTTTTGAGTTCTATTGTGTTGTATATCAAATCTTATTTACATCCACTTTGTTATACCATTTTATTTTTACTTCATTTATATTCCATGTGACAAAGCTGTCACCATCAAAATACGACAATACAAATCAACTCATTCGTATCGTGGTTTCGTATCGTTTCTTAATGCATCTACTATTTTCAGGTCTCGGAAGATGGTAGTTCATCATCATCAAAGTCGTTTTATAAGGAGTTTACACTGCCGTCAGCTGCAGATATTGACCTAGTAACAACCGCATTGTCCAAGGATGGTGTTCTCACTATCAAAGCACCAAAGAAGGTAAAGATTTCTTGACCTTACCAGTTTTCACAAATAACCATAAATAGTAAACTTTACATTGTATAGCAATTTCTTCCATTTTGTCGCCTGTTATTGAAATCTACAATTAGGCTTAAATTTATTTTTATAATCTAAAGGCAAGCATTTTGGACATGCAGTAATTTTCTATACCTGTACCATGTTTTTCTATAATGTATAAATTTTGTTATGTAAAGCAGGTAATGATATGTCTATGGGGGTTAAACTGTAACTACAGTAATATACTGAATTAAATGTTTCATGATCCTTTTACTCCTGCCGATTTCTCCAACTTCTGCAACAGCCTTTTATAGGATACTGTGTTAAAGGCTTTCTGACAATCCAAGAAAATGCAATCTGCCCAACCTTCTCTTGCCTAATTTTTGTTGCCTGGTCATAGAATTCTCTTAAGCCTGTGAGGCACGATTTACTATCTTTGAACCCATGCTGGTGGTGTCAGAAAGCTCATTCCCTTGAGATGCTCTACGAGCCTTTTCCTCACGATCTTCCCCATCACTTCGCATAGTATATTAATTAGGGAAACTGGCCTGTAGTTCAGTACCTCTTGCCTGTCACCCTATTTGTATATTGGGACTACATTAGCTGTCTTCCAGCTTTCCGGTAGGTTTCCTATTTCCAGTGACCACCAAAGAGAATGGCTTGGTAGGCCTATAGAACTCCACAGCGGATATGACCTAGTAGATGGTAACATCTCAGCATACAATAGCTGAAGGAAGCCACAAGGGGCTTCCCCCAGAAAATGGCTGTTTTCAGTTCATCAGTCTTGGAAAGGTTTTTGGAAAGGTGTCTTATACATTATTCCCACCATGTTGAATTTGATACTTGTAATGAGCGTTTCAAAGGAACTGGATACCTTCCTGCAGAGTACAAAAAGTTATTATACATTTAAGATATTTTACTTAAAACTTATGTTCAGAAGTGACACCAAGAGAGCTATAGTTCAACCCCAGCAAGCACAATTAGTGTTGGAGGAAATGAGATGGGTAAAAGGCAATTGAATCTTTGATATATTTATGTAATTCTTGAATTTCTCTGCTTCTCTTTGAACTCCAAGACCGTCATTCCTGATGCTCTGGTACTCCTCTCTGCTGCCTTGTTCTTTATTTCTGTAATTTATCCATGCCCTTATGGTTGTGTTTTGCATCTTTACACCCTTTGTTAAACCATGGTTTAATCATACAGGGTGTCTACAAATTTACCCCATTGTAAAGCTTAATAAATTCCTAATAGGAGTTATCTTACTGTTGTAAGTCAAAATATAATATTAAGTGATTCTAGAACATTTATACATCTTGATGATAAGTTCATAAATATTTAATAAAAAAAAACTTGGTTTTGACTAATATTTACTGAACTACATTTCTAAATGTCATAACAGGAAGGTGCTGCAGTGACTGTGGGTCCTAAGAATAGCAGCAGTAGCACCTCAAGTATTCAGCAGTCATCCTTTAGTGATGGTGGCTCCACATCATCCTTCAAAAGTTCCTCCTCCAAGATGGTTATTCAGTCTTCCTCCAGTTTTGAGAGCTCCTCTACTGATGGACTTGAAAGCTTGCCAAAAGAGATGAGGGAAAAACTTATGTTTAGCGACTCAGGATTTGGTTCAACGAAAACGAGCACATGTTCATCTCCAGCACCAAGTGAAGTAGGCTCAGAGTCGTCTCGCGTTTCCTCTACCATGGAGTTTGATCTAGCCAAAAAAGCCCCTACTCGTACTGAAGTAGCTTTCAATGTCACAAGTCCAAGTCAGCCAACACCTCAACCAATATTCAAGCCAGTACATCAACAGGGCCCTAATCTTCAGCAGCCACCCCAGCCCCAGTTCCAGCAGCCACCCCAGCCCCAGTTCCAGCCGCCGTCCCAGCCCCAGTTCCAGCCGCCGTCCCAGCCCCAGTTCCAGCCGCCGTCCCAGCCCCAGTTCCAGCCGCCGTCCCAGCCCCAGTTCCAGCCGCCGTCCCAGCCCCAGTTCCAGCCGCCGTCCCAGCCCCAGTTCCAGCCGCCGTCCCAGCCCCAGTTCCAGCCGCCGTCCCAGCCCCAGTTCCAGCCGCCGTCCCAGCCCCAGTTCCAGCCGCCGTCCCAGCCCCAGTTCCAGCCGCCGTCCCAGCCCCAGTTCCAGCCGCCGTCCCAGCCCCAGTTCCAGCCGCCGTCCCAGCCCCAGTTCCAGCAGCCTCCCCAGTTCCAGCAGCCTCCCCAGCCCCAGTTCCAGCAGCCTCCCCAGCCCCAGTTCCAGCAGCCTCCTCAGCCCCAGTTCCAGCAGCCGCCCCAGTTCCAGCAGCCACCCCAGCCCCAGTTCCAGCCGCCAACCCAGCCCCAGTTCCAGCCGCCAACCCAGCCCCAGTTCCAGCAGCCAACCCAGCCCCAGTTCCAGCAGCCAACCCAGCCCCAGTTCCAGCAGCCACCAGAGTTCAGTAAGCCATCTCAGTTTCTCCAACAACAAATAAATCGGCAAATGTTTCAACAGTTTCCTCAGCCTGCTGCAACAGGTTTCCAGCCAATGGCTAAGACAGCACCTCGGGCTCCTTTTGCTCCTACGCAGGTTGTTGGATCTGGGAATCAGTCCAATATAAGTGTTACAGAAGAAAATGGACGACGTATCCTTACATCCCAGACATCTAATGTTGTGCAAGAAAAAGATGGTTTTATGGAACACAGAGAGACTGCTGCCGAAATTAAAGACAAAGACAGTCAGGCTGCACGTCGAGAAGCAACTACAAAGATTTCTCGCCAAGAAGAAGATCCAGAAGGAAAATCAAAGCTGTCAGAAGCAGCTGATGCAGCTGAAGTGAGTGAATCATGTATACAACATATGCCTGATGGCTCTATCATGTCTGTAAAGAAGAGCTCATCTAGTGCCTCTTCTGTCAAAAAATCCTTCTCCTCCACTGGTGATGCAGGTTCCTTTTTCCAAACGCCAGATTTTCCTACTGGATTTGGAGATTTAAAAAACTTGATGAATCGTGGTCAATCTCTCATGTCTCAAATGTCCACAGATTCTATGGCTTCTACTTTGTCTGGAAGATCTGGATTCTCTGATATGTCCAATTTTTCTCATTTCAGTGACACTTCTTCACAATATTCTGGAATGTCAAATTTCAGCAATATGTCAAATTTCTCAGATATGTCACCAATGTCCCCAAGATCACAGAATCAAAATGTTCCAAGCCCTGGAAGCATGGCTCAAGACTTCAATTCGTCAAGAGTTGTCAAATCTTTCTCTTCATCATCCACTTTTAACAAATCTTCATTCTCCTCTAACCTTGGGGATAAAAACTTTTAAACACTGTTGTTTAGTGTTGATATAATTTGTGACCAAGAGAAAACCCTTCATCTTAGTTATTTAAATATTCTGAGTTTTGCTAAGTATTCATAAATTTCCCAGACATTGCTTTTTGTTCATACCTAAAATGTTAGGAATGTTAGTGCTGCTGGGCCTTATGTTACATTACTTTTTTTTTTTAAATTGGGGCCAAGCTTGTTTAAATTCAGATAATTGAGTTTGTTAATGCTGCACTGCAAAGTATTTTTGTATGATCAAATTTTAAGGATTATTATTGCATAATCATGGCTTGGAATTAAATATTTGTTAAATATTGCTAGTTGAGAAATCAGTATTATTCTTTAAGCTTGTATTCATTATTAAGTGGAAATTTTCTTATCATATGTTATGAAAGGCTATATTAAGTTTACTTTCATTAGTGTTAAGAGTCATTAAATTAAGTAACATTTCGTTTTCTACACCGCATGACTTTTGAATAAAATGTTCCATTTACTCACGTCGTGTGTTTAATTGATCTTGGGTTGCTTAAGTGATTACACCACCAATCCCTTTACTTTCTTTCATATAATTCTTAATTCTGTAATTCTCTTGCTCTGTTCTCATACTGTACTACCTTTGTTCCCAGTTCCCACGTGTGTGTTCATCATCTTGGCCAATGCTCCTTTTCTTACCCCTTGCTTTATTCTAACTTGCACACAATCATATTTATGAAAAGAATTGAATGGGCATTTTTTTTTTAATATTCTGTACCATGAAATATTAAAGATTTTCCTCGGAAGTGCTGCCTCGACATGGTGAGAAAGGGGGGAGGGGGGCCTATATGCACTGCGGTCGGCAGTGTGTCTGTGACGTGTCCCCCTATTCTTCTCTCCCCCTCCCTGCATCCCATCCCAAATCCTTATCCTGATTCTTTTTACCAGTGCTATATAGTTGCAATGGCTTGGTGATTCTCCTGATAATTTCCTCCCTCCTGCCTGCTGTGATGGCACACAGGTGAATTACACAATAGTAGTTAAGCCACCCATGTTTTTTCTGTGTATGGTGACTTTTATGAAGAGAGACATATGGCATGTAAGACATTCTGTACCGTTCCTTCATCTAGTCAGCCTACCTAGCAGCAGCTGCAGACTGAAGGGCAATGCATTTCTTTAATAGTGGGGTATAGTAAAACAGGAGGTTCAGCGAGGCCTCCATTAGTTACCTTCATATACTTGTCTTGTTATTGCTAAGGTTGCCTGCATGTTTGTACTTTCCAGGGTTGGGTTCCATAGAGGATATGTAATTTTTTCCACCCCTATCTGTACCTCTCACAACTTTCCTAGATGACACATAGGTTGTATGGGGCTGTCAAAGACTGGTCTGGGTCACAGTGCCCCCTTTAAGAAAGATCAGCTCCTATTCTTAGTCTTGGGGAACTCCTGTGAAGTCTCTTATAGGGGGTTCAAGTTCCAGTTTGTCAATAGTTTATCAGCTGATCATAATATTTTAACTTAAAACATAACCACAACATTTTATAGAAATTGTAAAAAACTGCATTGTGGTTATGTTGTGTACTTACATGTTTGGGAAGAGAGGAACAAAGGTGGAAATGAGGAGGAAGGGGAATGTGGCTCTCCCCTCCTATTCTCCCACACCAATCTTCTAAGAGGCCCCATACAGTTTCTTATTAATAAATTTCTATGTATGTACAAGGAAATGTGTGTCTGTCTGTCATCAAGGTTGGAGGGGAGAGGGGGACAGAACTTTTCAGTGGATAATCCAGATATTACTTTGTTGACAATTACTCTTGGTTCTGTTCGTTCAGAAGTGAAAAATCAATCTCCTTACTTTGCGAATAATTACTTTTGTTCATTTTGTGTGTAATAGCACCATAGTCACATTTGTCAAAAGCTTTTGCAAAATTTGTACATTATTATTATTTTGCTTGCCTTCCATGACATCTAAGACGGTCATAGTGGTTTAGCAATTGTGAAAGGCAGGAGTGCCCTGTCCTGAACCAATGTTGCCCCAGGGTGATGTAGACTGTAATTCCGTGTATTTCATGTTGGAACATGAAACGACAAATGTCATGTGATCTCGTGACATTTTCCAAACTTTTTAAGATGTGTGTCTAATTTTTTTTTTTTTTTTTTGGGGGGGGGGGCATTTTTTTTATTACCTCCTTTGTGAAGTGGCAGTCTCTGCTGTTTATAGTATATCATGGATAAGACCAGTATCTTGGCTCCATTTCCAAAAGATGTTTAGAGCCTTTGAGTGATTTTTTGCAATTCATTATGAATATAGAATTCCAGGAGTTTGGGCCTGGTGCAGAATGCATGAGCATACTGTCTATGGCTACTTCAAAGTCAAACGGGGTAAGGATGACATCTGATACATGGTTCATTGGTGGTGTCATATTCATAAAGAATTAGTTTGGAATCATTGATCTTCAATGAGTTCAGGGGTCCACTGAAAACAGAATCATACTGTAACCTTAGTATTTCTCTAATTTCTTTGTTGTCATCTGTGAAGGTTTCAGCACCCTTTTACAAAGGCCCAATACAGGATGTAGTTTTTATCTTAGTTTTTGTATAGAAGAAAAAGTATTTTGGATTCCTCTCTATTTCACTTATGGCATTCTCTCTCTGCCTCTCCTGGATTTTATATGCTGCAAGGGCATCTTGTGATGTACCACCATCATGGCACTTCAGGGTGGTCAACCAGGCACACATTACCTGGACAGATTTATCTAGAAAACTCAAACATTAAAGTTTCTAATACAGGAAAAAAATAAGATGTCAAACAATGCCATGGTTTACTATAAGCAATTATGTGCATGTTCACAATAAAATTGGAAAATAAATTGAAAACCTTAATTATTGCACTAAATGTGTAAAAATGAAAAAAATTACTAAATTATTTTCTGAAACAAGCATTTTTAAAGTAGCTGGGATATAAAACAAAATGAAAACTTTGATACTGACTTGTTTATTACAACATATCAAGTAGAGACCTTTTGGTTTTGGGTTGCCCAAAGACTTGCAATATTTCCTGCAGCTACATTCTTTCCAATACCCACATTAACATGTAAAATTTAAGATACGTTTAAAATATTTAATCCAAACAAATTTAAAGCAAGATAATATACATGTTCACTACTTCAAACCCAGAAGAACAAAGGCTGCAAATATGGCATTACTGGTTTTTTTTTTAAAGATAAATTAATAATGTGTGTAAATCACAAAAGTTTACATGTGATGAAAAATGTGATAGTGTCGGACCACGGAGGAAGAATTGAAACGGGAATTTCCTTAAGTACTTTCGTATTTAATACCTTCTGAAGATGTATTATTAAATACGAAAGTACTTAAGGAAATTCCTGTTTCAATTCTTCCTCCATGATCTGACACTCATAATGTATTTTTTATTAAAAAATTATTTATCTTTTAAAAAAAGATAAACAAGAGGTTTTAATTTTGTGTATTTTTAAGTCAATTTCTACATAAACTGTACCTCCAGTTAGAAATAAAAATTTGTACTTGGTTGACATTCAAATATGAAGTGATATAAATAATTGCTCTGAAAGAAACTTGCTCTCTATTATGGAAATACTTGCCTATTCAGAATTTACATTTGATTTAAATGGTTAGTGGCAACCAAAGTTGCTTTTCTGAATGCTGAATCAACTATGGGCAAGTATAACAATTTTAACAATTACTAGTTCGGTATGTAATGAATAATTAATCATTTGGATTGGACTAAGATAATTGGGAGAGCAATTAAAAACATGCTCAAAACACTTGCTTTACTTCAAGAGTGTCATGTTACCACGTAACAATTGTGCATTTCCAGTTTTCGTATAACTACCACCATGTAAAAAATTTTTAAACATCACTAAGGGGATCACTGCTGCTGTTACTCGACAGGTCAGCATCATATTCATTATTAATTACCTGCCAGGATTTCATGTCTGTGGAAATAAAAACACTGCTAGCATTGTGTTCTACTTGAGATTTATTTGTATTTGTTGTAAACACTTGAGTATTTCCCATAGGAATTTCAGTAATGTCATCATGAAGGGAATTGCTTTCTACAGCGTCAAAGAATGGATCAACTTCATTATTCTTTCTAGATATATCACTTTCAGGACATGCTGAACCAACACTCTGCTGTTGTAATTCAAATCCACCAAAGTCCTCAAACTCACTTGATGATATTTCAACAAAATTTAGAAGCTCTACTGTATTAGAGTTGCTGCACTCTTCCAAAATATTCACACCAAGACATGATGATGGTTGAGAACTGTCATGCACTATAAAGATATCTTTTGTACAAGGGCCTTTTTTGCCACTAGACTGAGCCTTACCTTGTTCTCTTGGCACACATACATTTGTTGACACTTGCTGCTCTTTTGTAGAGAACTTTCTATCTGTCGCTTCACTCTCACTAGTCTTCCGACTCTTAGTTTTTAATGTTTTTCTTTCTTCTGGTAGCTTTCTTTTTAAGGAAATTTTAGAGTTAGAATACAAGAATCTGGTCATTTTGGTAGATGCTCTAACAGAACGAGCTTCCTTCTCTTTCACACTACGCAACATGTATGACCTTTCCTTATTATGCCTACTGTTAAAAATATGCCCAGAAGAACCATCTTTATCCTTTGCATTTCGATACGCTGATTTAACACCTTCATTCGATTTTTTGTGCACATAACTGGAAATTTTATTCTTTTTGGCTGCATGAGATACTGTTGATGCTTCAGCTATTTTTGACTTTGTCAAAGTGGTGCTGTGACCTTCGCAATTATTTTTTACATTTAACAGATTGCTTTCACTGCGAGTGCAAACTGCTTGTTCACTATCCATTCTTGATTTATCAGCAACTGTACTTTTGTCTAATGTCTGTGACAAGTGAGAGGAGTCACTGACCACAATCTGTGACGTTGATTTTTCAGTTACCGATTGTTTCATGAGAATATTTCCATTTCTGTTCTTTGTAGTATTTAATTTACGAAATGATTTTAAAGCTGACACTGTTGCTAAATTGTCATGCGCAGCACTTGCAGCATTTAGCAAAGTATCTTTTTTAGCCATACGTGTTGTAGGAGTCCTTGAGACCAGACTGTCACTCACATTCTCTAGGTTTTCAGAGATTATTTTCTCAACAGTTGCTGCCTGAGGTAAAGTTGATGCTTCTATCGTTTTCGACCCCCTCAAGGTAATGTCGTGGCCTTCAAAATTAGTGCCAACATCAAACAGATTGTTTACACTGTGATTGCAAACTACTGGTTCACTATCCATTATTGGTTTACCAGCAACTATACATTTGTCTAATGTCAGTGGCAAGCGAGAGGCAGCACTAACCGCAGTCTGTGACTGTAATTTTCCAGCAATTGATCGTTTCATGAGAATTTTTCCATTACTGTTTTTTGTAACATTAGGTTTACGAAATGATCTTAAAACTGAGAATGGTTCTAAATTGTCACTAACAGCACTTGCAATATTTAGCAAATTATCTTTTTTAGCCATAAGTTTTGGTAACATCTGAGAATCTTCATTTTCAACCATGGGCCTACTCTGAGAATCCTCTTCAGCTGTGGGTATGATTCGAGAATCTTCAGCTGTTGATATGATCTGAAGATCATCATCTGCCTCCAATGTGGGCCCAATATCAGAATCATCAACTGAAGAAATGTGCAAATCTTCATCCTCAACGATGGGTCTACTATCAGAATCTTCATCAACTGTAGGGTTGATCTGAGAGTCCTCATTCATAATTGTGGGTCTGACCTGAGATTTGTCTTGTTTCCCTTTACCATGCTCTTTTGTCTTTGTAGGGAAATATTTTGTGAGGGCTTTAAGGATGTGTTGTATAACAGGAACACTCCAAGACTTTCCTAGAAGATTTTGCCGCTCTCTTTGTGATAGATTTCCAACATCTGTATAATGTTGAGGGAATCCAAAGATCTGATGGAAAAAATAAAAGGTAAACGTTCCTCTCAACAATCTGAGACATTAATAAAATTATCTAACTAAATTATTTTTTATACCTATACAGTATTTAAATTTTATCAATACAGAGAATTCATCTATGTATGGCCAGAAAAGGATGAAATATTGCTTATATCAGGAAATATATTAAGGAGAATGAGTGTTAATTCAAAAATATGTTGCATTGTGTGTAAGAAGAGTAGAGAAAAATGTATTTGTAAGAATGTGATTTTCTGGGTGAGACCCGGAGGCTCCCCGGCATCCCTCACTCCCTTCGGTCGTCGGTTTTCGTGTTTTTGATACTCGGCCTCTGAACTGAGGAGAGTTGCCGGCGTGGAGGTTTTGGACCCCCCGTCCCCCTCCCGAGGAGGGGGGGTTGCGCAGACGGATGCGCTGCATTTGTGGTGACATCATACTTGTTTCCTTGGTTTTGATTGGGGAGTTCTGTTGCTAGTTCGGCTTTCGATTTGCAATTTATTTGATCAGCAGTAGTTAGTTTTGGAATTCCTAGCTTTCTGGGTGCCTGACCTGGTAGATGGCAGACAAAGACTGCTTCCAATTACATGGGGGTGTCTTTAGGCCATTGCTCCTCGTGCCTCTCTTGAGGGGACCAGGTTCTGGCTCTGATCCCTGGTAGGCCTAGAACTCATTTGATTGACTTGCCACGGTCTAATACATACACGTCAGCCCGGTATAGCTCCAGGGAGCCGAAGGGGCTCTCCACAGAAAAGGGACGTACAAGTACGTAGGTAATCCTAAGGTAACAAAAGAATAGATATAGGTAACTAAGGGAGGCTTGGGCAGTATTCCAGGGACTGATTAGGGATACCCTACAATGCCCATTTGACCACAAGTCTGATTAGGCCCACTAGCCAATTGATTTATTCCGATTCATTCGAGGCTCACTGAACTTCCCATTTTACACCAAGCCCTCCACCAAAAAGTGTGTGTTGGGACCTGCCCCTCCCCCCATCCCCAACCCTCAGGAGTTGCAGACTCAACATCCAGATGAAGGAAAATTGAAAATTGGGAATATACAGGTCGCCATGCATGGCAAACACATGGGTGATTAAGCTGTAGGGTGTATTTTACTTGTACCTGCTTGATGGGGTTCTGGGAGTTCTTCTACTCCACAAGCTTGCCCTCAAGCTAGGCTTGACGTGAGAGCTTGGTCCAACAGGTCGTTGCTTAGAGCGGCCCGCAGACCCACATATCCACCACAGTCCGGTGGGTCTGGCACTTGAAGAAAACTATCTAGTTTTCTCTTGAAGATGTCCAGGGTTGTTCCAGCAATATTTCTTATACTCACTGAGAGCATGTTGAACAACCGTGGACCTTGGATGTTTCAGTGTTCAGTGTACAGTGTTCTCTGATTGTGCCTATGGCACTCCTTGTGCATCATCACAGCAGGCAGAAAAGAAAGCAAAAGTCACCCATGCCCAAGAGCCCCTCACCCCTCCTTGAAGGGGATGTTTAATTAAAAAACAAACATTACCTTTTCGATTTCTGTCGTCCATGGTACATCTCCGGAGTCATTCATGCGGATCGGCCAATCTACTCCAGCACCAAGCTTTAAAGATGCTGGGTTGGTTGTTATGCAGTTTATTTTCTTCACTAAAGCTTCACGGTTGCCTATCTGATAGGAAGTTAGATATACAGGTACTGTACTAATTATATAAATATATATATATATATATATATATATATATATATATATATATATATATATATATATATATATATATATATATATATATATATATATATATATATATATATATAAAACAGGAGTTTATTGCACACAATGGTGAAAATTAACAAAATAGAGTACAGTGGCATCTTGACTTATGACCTTGCGAACCCTTACGAATTTTTTGAGTTACGACCCCAATTTCGTCGAAAAATGCAACTCGAATTACGACCGTTGCCTCGACTAACGACTTTGTTGATACACGTATGGGTTGACCAAGCGTTCCTGGTGGTACGGACGACTTCGCCTCAGTTTACCTCATCACTTAGTGATGATCACACATGTAAAGAATTTCATTGTTTTTGTGCTTTTTGTTTTTTGAACATAAAAGTAATTATTATATACCATGCCCTGGGTCCCAAGAAAGTCAGACGTAAGAAAACACATGTGAAGATGACCATAGAGGAGAAACAAGAGATAATTCATAGTGAATGAATGTGATGTCTCACTACATACAAATGTTAAAACGTAGGTAAAAACAAGTCTCTATGGAAAGGTTCTTAGCGAGACAAACAAGCAGTGAACCACAACCAGATCCTAGTGGTATGCAGACAAAATGTAGGAGAGAGAGTACCCCAGAGAAGTTATCACTGCCTGATGTTATAATGGAAGGGGGCTTCCCCCCCTCCAAACAGTAACACCTCTCCTCTTTCCCCCTCCTCACTGTCTTCCATACGCCAACAAGTGTCCTCAATAATGGTAAGATATACATACTGTATTATAACTAGCACAAAAAGATTGGTATACGGTATAAAATGTATTTTTAAGTTAATATTTTTGGGGGTTTGGAACGGATTAATTCAATTTACATTATTTATGGGAAAATTAGTTTCGACTTTCGAATTTTCGAGTTACGATCCGTTTCTGGGAATGGATTAAATTTGTAAGTGGAGGTGCCACTGTACCTTTTAACATTCCTATATTATTAATGGGAATCAGACGTTCTTATGTGCACAGCTCAGCTTGTACTGTACACTATATGATTTGATAACTCGAGATCAAACAAAAAATATATCCTTGATCTAAACTGGTATATCATATAATGCAAACAATACTATGGAAATGTAATGTTTTACTTGTTTATACAGACAAAGTTCTAGAATAGACCCCTCATTTATTCTTGTTATCTTAAGCACTGATACCACCAAGCATTAGTGAATCACACCAGGCAGGAGACTTCTCTGTTGCCAATCTGAAGGCAGGACTAGAATCTAGTCCACTCTGAGGCAAGCGTGATAATTAGAAATTGTTCTAAAACTGGGAAAATACCACCAGAAAGTACAGAAGCAACAAATTAAGCAACTATTTGAATGAAATTGGACATCTATAGACAAAAAGGGTAACTGGTCATTACCATGGGAAAAATACTATGATGCACCTGACTGCTACCAAATGGCAGCCCCGATCACCAGATCTCTCTTTTCGTCTGCCCCTTCACTCTTTTGCTGGTGCCACCTGTTCCACTTTTGCTTCTAGAGCCTATGACTGCTTCAAGCTGTCAGCTAAGTGGTGGTGGCTTTTCAAGGAATAATTTTTTCTGCTGGGGTCCATTGTTGTGTTTGATTTACTGCTTCATAGTTGTGTTTGGGCCATCCACATATCATTGTATCGTACGATTATGTTATGTTGTTAGGTAGATTAGATACAGTGTTTAGCGGGTTTCATATGTATTTAGTAGTCTTGATTACAGTAGTCGGTTGTTGGCATTGTCGTGGATGTTCAGACGGAGCTCGGAGTAAAGCAGAGAGCTGAGTGAGGGAGGCCGAAGTCGCAGAGCTCTATGCGGGAGAGCGTGGCGGCTCGATTGGGAATCGTGAGTGTCTAAACTCGATGGGGAGTGAGAGCGTTGTAGCTTGATGCAGTCGTAGTATGCTGTCTGCTCCGAGTCGAAGCTGTAGCGTCTTGGGTCAGTTGGAGCTGTACACGCTGTGTGCTACATTCCTGAGGTTGAAGAGGTGGCGGTAACTCCCAAGTGTTTGTACCAAAGCTAACTGAATCACTGTGGAAATTGTACTGTCGGTTATTCGATTCACTGATAAAGATTAAGCTACACACAAGAGTAATATAATATAATATATAATATATTTTAACATGTGGTTAGTTTGGGCCCCAAGTTATTTGGCTTGCCTTCTGGCCAGAGATCTCTTTCTTTCCCATTGCGATCACCTTGGGTTTTTGGTCAACTGAAAGAAGTACTGTACCACTTAAAGGCTCCTTAGATTCCGAATAGGTTGGGACTGGTTTGGGATATAAGGAGTGCCTCCCTTTCTTGCCATCAGGATTGCATTGGGTGCATAGCCATCTCTGGATGCTATGGTGGTGGTCAAGGACTTGCTGTCAGTTAAGGACCTAACACATCAAAGTCTGCCATTTTCCCCAAAACAACGTTTGGGATCCATCTCGGACACATACCTGTAAGAAATGCCAAATTGTTTACCTTTTTTCCTCATGGTTGCTATTTTTATTTAAGCAGTTGTTTGTTCTGATGAGCTTGTGCTTTCTAGAGAGATTTTTCTCAGTTTTTGATTGATATCTAATTCCTAAGCTCCTTCCACCTAAAAGAGCTAAATTCTGGTCCAGACCTCCAGTAGGCTTAGATGGGTCTCAGAAGCCTACAATAAGATTGTAGATCAGTGGAAAATATAAAGTACTGTATCATTACACTTTATACTCATTGAATAGTTTCAAGTATAGATTGGATAAATATATGAGCAGAAGTAAATTGGCTTTACAGTGTGAACTCTAAATAAACTATATAGGGTAAGGTCAGTTCATTTCAAAAGGGATTCGTTCGACTCGCCCGAACCCAGGAACCCCCCCACTCGACCAGGACAAAAGTATTTAATTGGTCCAGTGATCAACTTGTTTACTTAACTGAAGATTGACACCCACTTATATAAAATATCAAGATTGTTTTCATAGTTAAACATAGTATAGTTTAATATAACCACATACAGGAGTACCTCGGTTTAAGAGTTTAATCCGTTCCTGGAGACAGCTCGTAAACCGAAGCGAATTTCCCCATAAGAAATACAGTAATGGGAAATGAATCAATACGTTCCTGACTACCCAAAAACCTTACTTCAAACTACATTTTATACCTAATTCATCCAAATCTACACTTTAAAAGTATGTTCAAGTTATTACTTACCCTTGCTGATGACTCCTGTTGGTGTATGGAAGATGGTGAAAAAAGGGGGGGGGGGGAGGAGAGATGTTACTGTTTGGAAGGGGAGTCCCCTTACAGGGGTAAGGGGACTTTGGGAGGGGAGTCCCCTTACAGGGATAACAGGCAGTAAAGATTTTTCTGGAGTGCACTCTGGCACGCTTTGCCTGCCTACCACTAGGTCCTGGTTGTGGCTCACTGCTCGATTTTCTCACAATGAAACGATCCATTGAAGATTGTTTTTCCCTTCTTTGCAACACTTGTCTGTAGTAAGACATTACATTGTCATTTAAAAGGTCAATGCAACGGCCTGCTACAGCTTTATCTGGGTGAGTTTTTTCAACAAACTTTTGCAGTTCTTCCCATACTTCACACATTTTCTTGATGAGGAAGGGACATCCTTTACTGTCTCTACTCACAACTATTTTCTTAGGTTGAACCTTACCAATGGCTTTCTTGGGACCCATAGCAAGATATATAATAACTTATGCTCCAATGGCCAGAAATCCGACAAAAAACTGTAAATCCTTGTGAAGAATTCAGGTGGGATAGTCACTGGGCGCAAGGATCGGGTAAACTGAGGGGTGATTGCCGTGCCACCACGCGCTAGGTATGCATATCAACACCCTTGTAATCCGAGGCAATGCTCGTATTCCGATGTAAATTTTCCGAGCAAATCTGCTCGTAACCCGAAAAACTCCTAAACAGGAATGCTCATAATCCGTGGTACCACTGTACATGTACTTATATGTATGGCTTACATTATTCGTATCCGATAGGACAGTGAGAGTTTCACCTTCACCCACTTTCACTCATAAAAATGTATCTTTTCATTTTCACTTCTTTAAATGCCATTACTGTAGCATTCAACATGATAGCTCTAGAAAACTAACATATAAACTACTAATTTTCTTCAGCAATCATATCCATAAATAAATAAAATAAAATAAAAATATTCTGACGATACTAACCTTATGGAGATACTCGCTCAAATTATAATTTTCTCCTAAGTTTTTAGGAATAGGAGCAGACATTCCTGAAAAGAGAGAAGATAACAATATACAAGTAGTGTACAAATGGATGTAAGTGTCTGTCTGGGAGGGGGAGGGGGGGGGGCAGACAGACACTATCCTACCTACCATTGGGTACCCCTTCTAGTTCTATATGGAAGTATTGGTGTTACCCACCCAAGACCCATGAGCAAATTCTGCTATAATTTTGTAATTGCTATAAGGTATTTTGTACCATGGGCTTGCAATTATCACCAGGTGACCTACGCTTCCACCTGGTGGCAGTCAGGAGTATCAGAGTTAATATGTTTACATTGTGGGAACAACTTGTCTACTTGAGGGAACCTAATTTTCCTCAAGCAGTGGCTTTTAATGCGGTTATGCTTTCTGAGTTTATATTTCCTGGGTCTTGGGTTAATCTACGATTCTCAAAAATTCCCTTGCCTTGTAGAGGCAGATTCTAGTCTTGATTCCCAGTAGGCAAAGGTGGGTCTTAGAAAAATAGTGCATCTTCCTAAGGCTTTACTGGATCAGCTACTGTGGAGGCCCTGGCAAGAAAAAATGCATTTTTCCCAGAAAAATCATGACATTGCAAATAAACCTACATAATCTAGTTTATGGTATGACACATACCTGGTAAATTGCCCCAAAAATATCTTGGTCGACTTTGTGGAGAGAAGTACTTTGCATCTATCAGAGTTGGTTCTCTTTGAAAGAATCTGTTAAAAAAAAAGGGAAAAACAGGCCTATCATATTTGTCAATTACTGCATGAACATTTTTGATACACATGCAAAATAAGACATAGAATATCAATACCATTATCCCATTTCCTTCTTTAAAACAAGTGGTTTAGAAATGTCTGAAATTCAACCCATCCTCCAGCTCAAGCTGTAAGTAAAATATTGAATTACATAATTTAAAAAAGTCTGTACATTATTTGACTTTTAAGCAGATAATCAACGGAAAGGATGAATATTTCACACAGTATACTATAACAAAAGTTTTTCCATATAAATAAATATTATATCTTGTTGGTTACTGTATAGCTAGGTCTAGACGAGGTGTATAGGTTACATTGATTAGGGAGTGTTTACAATACAAGTTGAAAGTGAACTTACCATATTTTGAGTCAAAATGGATAAGTCAAATACTGTACTGACTTATGTACATTTAAAAAGTATAAAAAAGTACTGTACTGTATTTGACTTATACGTTATGAATCCAATAGCCTTTTATTTTGATGATGAGCTCAGGAAAATACAAAAGTTAAAAAAAAAAAAAAAGGCGTCAAGGGAACTTAAATGCTCTATTTTAATCTGGTTGATCTGTAGCTTCCTTGGCCAATATCTACCTGGGACTTTGAACATTCTCATTTCTAGCACAGTGAGGAAAACTCTAAATATCACCTCAGACAAGGACAAAGAGAGCTTTTCAAGATGGTTCTTTCACCCCCTAATGCCATTTCGAATTCCGTCCAGGCTGCCTGATCGTTTTGTTGTCCAGATGCAAGAGTGCTTCTGTTATCCATCTTTTTACCCCTGGATGTTCAGCAAGGTTTTCCCATGATTTGGTTCCATTCTGTCTACTAGAGGTCAGTCTACCTTTTCGTGGTGGGGGCTGTACACTGCTATAGCAGCATTTTTGGTTTCTGGATCTGTGGCTGCTATTTTAACTTGGAGTTATTTGGCAGTCTGTTCGGGAGTGTAGTTTTTGCCTCTTTAGTTGATCCTTGATCACACCATGCCTGTGGAATCCATGGGCATTTGGCACACTCTGGTTGATCCTTTTCACCCAAACCCTGCTCTGTTGTGTTCCAAGAATCAGGCTTTATTAGTTTTCCTCTTCTTTATATTCCTTAATTTTTCCTTTCAGGAAAGCTATCACATTGCCCAGTTTGTCTGCAGTGTCATTAAGTCTAGCCAGCCAGCAATCTAACCTTAGGCACAATATTCCCAAATATGCCGCCATGGCAGTGGACTTTTCTAACATGTCCTGGGCTGATATGGTAGACATTTTGTAACCCTGGGCTCAAGGGTTTTGGTGGTTCTGGCCAACCAGGATTTGTTAATGTTTCTGGTCCCAATTAGTTGTTTGTTGCTTTGGGCCGTGTCTCTCAGCATGTATTCTTTCCTTCGTCTTAGTACCTCCCACCTCTCCTCCATGATAAATCCTGAATTCATTCTCTGTGGTTAATTAGCATCTGGGAGCACCAGAAACCCAACACTGATGGTACTGAAATACTTTTCTCTGGTAGTCCTGGTGGCTTCCTGTTTCCCCCCATCCCTTCCAGGTTCGTTGGTTCATCAGTGTGTTGTTTGTCAGCTCCAGAACTCAGCAAGGAAGCCAGCTGAGGGCTGATGGTAAGGTCACTTGGTGACAGCTATTGGTACTAATGGGCTCAAGCTAGTTTTGAGTAAATCTATTGTTTCATGTGAATTGTTTGAAGAGTTTCAAGGCTTTCTTTTCTGCGAACCTTTACAATTGTCTGTAAAGCTTCATCGACTTTCTGGTTGCTTTCCTGTTGAGGTGGCAGATTGTCACTCACTCCCTGCACCTCTGTGAGAGGGCCCAGGTTCTGACTCTGGTTTCCCAGTAGGCTAAATAGAACTCTTGCGACTGATGTGACCCATTAGAATGGAGCAATCTCAGTGAGATAGCTTCAGGGAGCCAATGGGGCTCTACCAGAAAGAGGCATTTCATTACATTCAATGCTTGGTTTCTGCTTTTATAAAATGAGGACTCTTCTCCCCATCAACAGGCCACACAGGGAAGAATAAAACTCGCAGAAATAGCAACCCGCCCACAATCCCTCAGAGTAGTTATCTTTGCTAGGGTATAAGAAACTGCTAATTGACCCCAGGGAAGGCAATCCTGGCAGCGGTTTGAGCAAAATTAAATACTGGAGCATACGCAGTGTGCTATAGCTCGGGAAGCTACTGAGGGTTCCCTCAGTAGCTCCTCAAGTTATAACTTTGGTAGCCAAGAATTAAAAAACCACAATAGACCCAAGGTTTCAGTAGCCAGGACCATAATTTTAATTTCTACAAGACAAGAGCTCGGGGATCAGAAATCAGCTCAAACTAAGAATAAGTTCACTTAAAGGAATATGCACATCAAAACAAATAACCACCCAAAGGGAATTAATAATGCAGAAGATAAATTGCAAACAATCATAACTACTGTATAAACACCCAAGCCACGATAACTCTGGTTTCCACCAGATGTGGGCCTAGGTCACTTAGGGTTCCCTGCCAGCTAGCTACCTCATTTATTTGCTACATGTTTAGTTTTGCACTTTCAGATACGGGTTGTTAGCTATACTTAGAATGTCTTATGATGTGTAGAGCCATTACTTTGTTTTTGGTTCATTTTCATTCATAACAAAATTTCAAGGTATTGAAGTAATTACTCTAACAATCATGCCAGTTAAATATTTTTGTACTTCATAAAAGAAAAAGAAAAAACACTTACTGATTTATGTGTGTCTTGAACACCCGAGGCATGGTGGCAACATTCTCATACAACCAGAAAAGATGATTCTTCCCATTAAGAACTTGGAGCGTTTTTAGGACACGATAATAATAGAAAAAAAGAATTCCAGTGCCATTGGGATCTGAAAAAAAATTCTTATACAGTACTTTACAATGACAAAAATATTATGCAGGAAAATACAACATATTGTATTGTGCTAGTAGCTAGTGGATGTACAAGAATGTAAGAACTCTTGAATATATAAAATAAAAAACCAGCGTTGAATGCAATGAAATACCAATTTCTGGGTGAGCCCCAGCGGCTCCTTGGAGCTACTGGACTGATGTGTGATATATTAGTCTTGGGCTTCAGTCATTTGGAGTTCAACCTACTGGGGACCAGGACCATGAGCCAGAACCTGGCCCCTCTCAGAGAGGCAAAGGGAGCAATGGCCTATGGAAACTCCACATGTGGTTGAGGGGTATGCCATGTCTGCCATCGACCAAGGTTAGTGCCCAGAAAGGTAGGCATAACAAAACAAATCCCACTTGGCAAGAAAACTGAACAGAGGCAGAACTCCTCCGAAAACATAAGGACACAATCAAACAAGCAAACGTCTATTACCGCCGCTGTGCTGCTTGTCTGTGCAGCCCGGGCACAGTGAGGTGGAGAGGTTTGTTTGGGAGACTCACTTCGTAGTGAGGTGCAATATGGTGTTTACAATGCAGCAATGATTGTTTCATTGCCTTCAGATACTTAATTTTCTTCAAACAGATGCTTATTTTGTTGCATTTATGATTGTTGAAGTTTTCTTGATTTAAAATTCAAAACCAATTCTCAAGTTTCCCTTGACCTTGCAAAGGTCTCATGTGTTTCCCTAAGACTAAGACACAAACGAAATAGTGCTTAGCTCGGGTAGCTACTGAAGGGACATTTCCAAGGTATGTAAATATAAATGTATAAGAATTAGCCGTGTAAAAATTCCTCACCTGAATGTATGTTCAAGAACTAGACTTGCAAAATTCATCACATTGCTTAGAGGTACAAGAATGTGAAGAAAATAATATGCCTCTACTGTAAGTTAAAGATTACTTACCAAATAATCCTTTCCTATTTGGATTGACAGCACTGAGGTCATTGCATGGGGAACCTCCAATGAGCAGATCAATTGGACATATCTGAGTGATCTGAAATGACATATAAACTTATGAAATGGAAACAGGAAGTGAGAGGGAAAGAAAGAAGTGTCATGGGTAGATCCTAAAGATATGCAAGATATGTCTGAATATGAAAGTTTTTGGAGTAGTTATCATAACAAATCTACTGCCAGAAGCCATACCAATAGAACTTTAGTGGTATAGGCAACTAAATATGGTTTGATCATATTACTGCAATCAAGAAAGGCATCCTGATGCCAGCTATTTCAGGATCACAGTGTTGTAAGTGAAGTGAGAGCTTGGTGTATAATAGATGAAGTATACGGATTACAGACAGGTGTAATGAACATACATTGGTTTAATGAGCATAGGTAGTACTCTAAGTATAGGCTGGTATAATCATAAGAACAAGAAAACCAGACAGATCACCCAAATGAAACACCAGATGGGACCACTCAAATACTTGCACCACTAAACTCATAACTCTGCAGGGAGGCCAAAATATAGCACCGCACACTGCTGTCATCATTTATAACACCGCAAATCGCTGCCATGATTTATAATCTTTTAAAAATTAACTATGAACCAACTTAACATGCAACACTGCCATCACCTTCACCTATGATGAAAATTCATAATTTTTACAGTGATTGGCAGTGAAGGATAGCGGTCATGGAAAAGTTATAGATATTAATTATTCTAGGTGGCGGGCACTTTGTCTAAACAATTACCTACTGTGACTTGTTCCAGAAATAGTCTAAACTTGCATAGGGAAGGGAAAAGGAGTACAGTGGAACCTCACTATTCATCGACATTCAAGAAATTCTCACCTCTTTTTTTATAATTAATCTTTACTGGTTGGAGGGAGCTAATTTAACATTTAATAATATCAGCCACAAACCAAAGGAAATGCCCAAAGGATATCTGGGCTTAGAAGACTATGAATGAATAGACAGGAGTGAATGGATACACAAGACGGATAGTTTATAATAATAAATGTATTTAATTCAATTGAATGTAGATCCTACACTGAATGGATACACAAGATGCATAGTTTATAATAATAAATGTATTTAATTCAATTGAATGTAGATCTTACACTATCTTTCCAAATAAGGCAATTAGAATTTTGGACACTTGTGATGCTAGAACATAAGGGACCAGTGCTCACTCAACATACAGCTATGATGTAATTTGTGGAAGAAACCAGACTGTCAGTCTCCCATCCCTGTGATGCCCATCAATGGACCCAGACACCTGTTTGGTCTGAATCTGCAGCTCACACCATCTTTCAATCAACTTGTCCCTGGCTTTTATGTCAACAGATACCAACCCATCCCCCTGTTACCGTTGGCTTATCAAAACTGATGTGGGTAACTTCTTGGAAAAAGGATAAATCCACCAACCTTTGGGAACTTAGAGATGGGGAAGGGGTTAACGTAACTCTACTTCACCTCCATGAAAGCGAGATATGTTATCTTGAGGTTATCTTGAGATGATTTCGGGGCTTTTAGTGTCCCCGCGGCCCGGTCCGCGACCAGGCCTCCACCCCCAGGAAGCAGCCCGTGACAGCTGACTAACACCTAGGTACCTATTTACTGCTAGGTAACAGGGGCATTCAGGGTGAAAGAAACTTTGCCCATTTGTTTTCTGCCTCGTGCGGGAATCGAACCCGCGCCACAGAATTACGAGTCCTGCGCGCTATCCACCAGGCTACGAGGCCCCAAATGTGAGGTCTCCTTACATGGTTCAACTTGAGTCATCTCCACAACTGTTACAAAAACAATTCTCCCCAGTTTCCAATATAACTATTTACTAAACTAAGGCATCCAAAGCCGGAAAGACATGTAGCATCCCGGTCTCCAGAGAAATGAAGAAAATTATGGTGATATACATACTGTACCTCTTTATCAGTGAAATGCATGACATCACCAATGAAAGTAATTCTTGAGCCAAAGTTTAAACTTGTTACATTTTTTGCTGCTTCATCTACTTCAGAAGCATAGTATGCCTCCACTTCCAGGTCTAGCTTGTCCAATACATACAAGCCTATGAAGAACAAATTATTAATTATTGCACTTACTGTATGAATATATTTTAATGGACATAATCTGTATTAATGCATATAATCTATGTTGTATGTATTAAACCACACCTTAGGCCATGCTAGCCTAACATATGGTCTAATGCATATATAATCTGTGTTATATGCATTAAACCATGTTAGGCCATTAAGCCTAAATTAAATGGTTTTAGCTTTTAATGTCCTTTTATTCACCCATTTTTAGTTAGTCCTTAATTTGTCTGGAAACATATAAATTTATACAATAATATGTTCAAAAGTATGTGTACATATATTTGCTTACAAAGGGAAGACTATAAGCCTACATGGTACTTATGGCTATTATCAGCCAAAAAGCACTGGTTTTCAATTGTTTACAATAAATATATTTTATAATTCTTTTGACTGTTGTGTATTCAGAACGGTTTATGAATGTCAAAATGTTTGTGTGCATACAAACACTGGTCAGCTGTTTGGATACCTCAAACTGCCAAACATGGCAATTATCCAGAAACAGTACATGTACTGTACAGTGTACCCAAATAACTGCCATAATTGCCAACATAAAACATGTTTGTACAGTATTTGAAAATATAGTACAACATAATGCAGATTAATACTGATTAATCTTGTAATACATTATCTAGGATAACCACACAACACGCGAGAACAATCCATCTTATCAATTCACAGAAACTGTTGTAAGGAATGCCGAGTAAACTTCTATACTGTACTGTATATACCTCCCAGAAATCCCTGATATTTATGGTGCTAAATGCTGCGGTATATAATGAAAATGTTTCACTTTACGAATCTATAATTGCCTTATCTCTTCAGTAATACAGTGTATGCAATTTGATCTGCTTGCCATGTTATGGTCCATCAGCTGTGCATCTGGTACCTGCATAATGTGACTTGTTTCCAATATAACCATTTAAAAAAAAAAAAAGAGGACTTAACTGGGCAAACCTGTCTAGTTCTCCCCTACTCGCTCCCTATGCCTCAACAAAAATGCACACTGCTTACAACACTGCATAACAAGATTTTGTGCATGTACCTTAACATAATATATTTTACTTAATGTTATGAGCTTACCTCTTAAGTAAATTAGATGAGGAAAGAATTAAAATTCCCTCGAGACAAAAAGCTGCAAATGTTAAGCCACCTAAATATGGTAAGGCTTTCATTATATTTATACCCTGTAGTTAAACAAAGAAGCTTGTTTATGCAAAGTAAGATCTGCTTAAATATCATCATGCAAATTATTAATACTATGATGATGATATGTTCACCTTATTTTATTTGTAAACAAACTAATAAAATAATTGTATAAAATCTATTAGTAACTACAAATTTCTTAATTTTAATGGCAATTAATAATTAAAAAAATTCAAAGTCTAAATAATGCATGCACAGTTAAATTAGTATTTTGTTAGTAAAAATATCAGCTAGCATTAAAGGAAATATTGAACTACATACTGAACCTGTCTAACAAACAAGTGTAAGAGGACGAACAAAAATACAATTACATGAGGTATACCTACTAACCAGTACCAATACCATCAAAAAGGGAGAGGACTCTTAGAGGCCTATTGGGAAAGGTTGATGCATCAGGTGTTTCATCATCATCAATAACCTCACTACTTGGCTCTGCTGTTTGAGATTCGGAGGCCAGCTATAAGGACGTTTTCAACATTAGTTGGCTTAATCTTATCAGAAAACCAGCATGCTGGAGACTCTTGATGCTATGCTATACAATGCTCGATTCTGCATAGTATAAATCCTATAAATTATATGTTATAGTGAGACCCCCCACTAGAACAAACTTCACTAAAGTAAAACCCCAAAAAGGAGCAAAAGAGGATGCTAGTTGAGTAAAAAATTAAGCAAAACAACAAAAATATTCATATCTACAGTATTACGATTTGTCAGTTTAACCTGACATCCTGCAGCATGCACTCGGACATTTTGTTCCTTCACAGTAGTGAAGCTAGTAAAAAATTAACATTTTAATTTTTTATTTTTATTACTGTTCATTTAAAATAAAAAGAAATCTTTTCTTTCATCTAAACCATTCAAATTTTCCAAGTTCCTAGATCTTTGTCACTTTATGCAAAATTAGGCATTAGCCTATCAACCACTCAACTGACAATGAGAAGCCAATGACTAACAGAGGCAATAACAGTTCGAAAGGCTACATACACACTGTGCAAGAACAAGGGGGGCAGGATGGCCGAGACCTTGGTAACATTGGTCCCCATCTGGTGGCTGCCAGGCACAATACACTGTATGGTGTATTTATTCAACAGCAATGATCACTGCATGTTTCCTAAGAGGGAGGGGTGCTTAATTTTCTTCAAGCAGATAAGTTTTGGTTTTATTTCTACTTTCTGGTGGGTTTTTACTAATTTTAAAACTGTTCTCTGATCCCCTGGTTCCTCTGCTAGTCCTAGCGTCTGGTAAGCAACGAGAGGTCTCAAGAGGCCTTGTGTGCTGGGCTTTCATAGCATTTAATCAAAGTTTGATTTTATTGCATTAAAACTAAGATCATTAAATACCTCAGTCATTATTATACACAAAAATACCTGTACTGTGTATGCAGTACATCCACCCATAACAGTGTAGAAAAAATAAATGGCTCCTGGAGGGTCATGTGACTGTTCAAGAGTATGAAATCCTGCTTAGAATAAATCATGTTTGTTCCATACAGTTCACTGGAGCGAGGGCCCACTGTTTCAGGTACTGTACTGTATTATATTTTACGACCATATTTTCACTATTTCATAAAGATCCATTTGGTTTCCTTTATCTTTGGTAAAACAACTATAATATAAAAATGCAGGCATGATTTTTATTCTTTGCTCAATGAGATGCTCTGACAAATGAATCGAAACCTGTTGAGGTCTCAACAGGCAATGAAGCAATGGATGCCATAAACTATTACAACTTCAATTTGGATTCTCTGAAATGAAAAGTTTATACTAGAAATTGTTATTGTTAAGTGCATATTTCTTTACAAAATACATGTAATATAACTAGATGAATAATGAAAGAATGCTACAATGTATTCTAAATAGTGATACTGACAAATTATACATCAAATGCCTTAAAGTATTCTTGTTAATTTTAATTTACCTTTACAAAAAGTTTTCATCAAATTTCATGACAATCTATGATCAGGCCAGCTCAAATAAATCAGACCAGCACTAAATTTCAAGCTAAAGCAAACATACAAAGTTTAGTTAACTAACAAATTTTTTGTTTAAGTTCTAACGAGTTACTAAAATAACAGAAAATGTAGCTAAGCAGTCAAGGACGAGCATCTTGCCCTAGAGCTGCTCTTAAAGTGGTTACTAGGGACTTTAGTGCCCAATACCAATAAGAAGCTATATGATTATACATAAGCACTGTATGCTTTTAAATCAATACAGAAAAAGGCACACTCTCAAGCTGTTGCAAAGAGCGATAAAATAAAAAATTACCACTAGGTAATACTGCCAAATTTATCGTACAAAAGTGTTGTAAATTTCATGTCAATATGATAAGGGGTTCTGAAGATACAAATGGGCATCAGGGAGATTCTTCTCAATTTAAATTATTAGGCTCCAATATATAATTGTGCATGTGGATATCATCTACATTTTTCCCAGCACTGTGTTCTTCACTACGATACAAATACTGTTTGATACAGGTTAACATACTGCACTAGTACATGTGCAGTTTTGTACTAGTTATGGAGGTTACAGAGGTACCTCGGTTTTCGTAGTTAATCCATTCCCAAAGACGGTACGAAAACCGAAAGGAATTTTCCCTTAAGAAATAATGTAAATTGAATTAATCTGTTCCACACCCCCAAATAAATTAACTAAAAACTACATTTTATACAGAATATTACTCTAGAATATTATTAAAAGCACAAAACAATGAAATTCTACACAAAGAATTCAAGCGCGATCATCACTAGGTGGGAGACACTGGTAAACTGAAGCGCCACACCCGCGGTGGACCCGTACCTGTATACAAGAACAGGGGCATACAAGAACCGAGGTTCCACTGTACTACAGAACAGAGTTGAACATGGCAACATTGTAATGAGTCCTGCATTAACAGTTCAACCTAGCTAACATACAGTCTGTACAAATAAAAGTGTTTCAGACATACTGAATTAGCAAGAACTCTGATGGCTGCCAAGCTAAAATATTTTATGAAATCTGGAATTTTTGTGTTGCCATATATATTGTAGTTCACTTAATGAAATCTCTGTTTGGTTAAGAATTTGGCTATTTACTAAGACCTACATTTAATACTACTTATTACTTAATATGTAGAAACTATAAAAGCTGTGCACTGTGAATACTACTTGTGCGGTCAACATAAAATTGAAAGGAATGACGTTTTATCATTTGTTAGTTAACCAAGACTTAAAATTGCAAGTTTGAGTACTACCTTTTCCTGCCACTCAGGTCTTGGTTTAAGAAGACCATGCGTATCTGGATGGTACGGCTCACACAAGAAGCAGTACCATGGATCGATCTCTTTGATGCGTTGTACTGCACTTGGTGACACAAGCAGCTCCACACAGCCAGTACAAAACTCTCTAATAAAAATATATATACCTTACCAGTAATTTATTTTTTAATAAAATTGATAAAAATCCTTGTACTAATCTATAATGTGTGTGATATCACAAACTGTTATAAACTTGGCACAGTCTCTGCTTTCATTAGCCCATTCCAATATACCAACTTATAATACAACCATGTTTCTGATAATACAAGGCCAAATACAAAGCTCACATTACCTCTCACACTCTGGTTCATCACAAAGCAGCATTTCACCAGGACTTCCACACACTGTACAGTATACCTGTTGAGTAAAAGTATATTATTGCACTGTTCAATTGAATATTTCAGTATGTAGATTGTAATCATAATTTCATTGACTTGTCTACAGTCACCATTAAAACATTTTGCAATCATAAGTTTCACTAACACAGTATGCACAAAATCTAAATGAATTTATATTGTCAAGGTACAGTATTTTCCTTACCTCATGGAGTTTAAAAGCTTTAAACTCCATGTTAATTACTTTATTTGAAAACAACTTCCAGATTTAACTCTGGCTTTCAAGTGACTTATTAATTGATGCTACAGAGAAATATAAACATGTGAAAAACTATAGCTGGAAATGGCAGAAAATACAATGGGAATGGGAAAGCATTAGAGAAGCCATTTATTTATAAGCAATACATTACATAACAAAACAGTGCTTAAAAACTATACTTACATTTATGTCATCACCATTTGCCTTGACATTGTCTTCAACCACTTCCTGTCAAAAGTAGAGAAATGCATTTAAGTGATATCTTAAGTTTGGATGAACTGGATATATACTGATACAAATTAACAAAATCCCCTTTTTGAGTAGCTCCTTGGTCGCTCCCTGATCAATCAATAATTCCATTACCTGCAGTTTACCTGGAGAGGGTTCTGGGAGTTCTTCTCCCCAAGCCCAGCCTGGGGGTCAGGCTCAACTTATAGTAAAAATAACCCTATTTAAACTACTATATCCAAGCATCGAGACCTCACCATTAAAAAGACACAACTGCTTTGGAAAAGGGTCTGTGCAGTGACAAAAATCATCTCAGAATTAATACCAGGAGAGATTGAGGATATCACTGTAATAACCATGACCACTCCCCCAGAGCTCACACCCAGGGAAGCTTTCTCCAAGAGGTCAGCCTAGATGACCTCTGAATCGTCTTGCAAAGTTAATTAAAATATTCCTGGGCTAGTCTTAGTCAACAAGTTTCAAGTAGGTGATATTTCATGATAATCTTGTGAAACATTGTAATGGAATTAGACTCCCATATTCTTATATGTAAACACCCAGGGATCTACCCCTTTCTGCCAGGTCAGAGGTCAACCACCTACAGAGGGAGTGTTGGCTGTGTAAACATTCAGGTGAGGAAAACGTTCCTTCCCTCTTGCACCCCCCCCCACCCCATAATTAATAATTCCCATCCTTGAAGAGGTGTATGGTGGCTGTCAAACATCTTGATGGCAAATTCTCGAGTGTTTGTGCACGTGTGGGCAGACCTCTTACACCTCAGTGTAGGTTAGCAACAGCAAATCTCACCCCCCCTCCCCTTTTCTCCAGCTGATAGGGGATGTGGCAGTTTTGGAGGCATGTATATATATGCCCCTGTAGGAGAGTTAGACACAGAGAGAGTGCTGGATCACGGAGGAAGAGAGGGGGGCCTCGGGAGACAGACTGAATTCATCCAGGTCGTAGAGCAAGGACCCAGAAGGTAATGTGTGTGATCTTTGAATTGTCCATATAAGATTTCTAAACATTTGCCAGTGATAGAGTAGAGACTTATAGTTGGAGAATATCATATTTTGTTCTCAAACTCATGTTAAACTTTCCATCTGTGTCAATTAAACGGAACCTTTCAAACTCCTATGTGGGTAGTTTTGTCAACAACCGGCTCGTAATTAATGACAGTTAAAAGAAAGGACTCTCAAAGTCAAGCAACATTTCTTGCCTCATTGTTTGATATAGCTGATGGTCAGGCAGGGTTGTGGCAGCGTAGTTAATTAATTTGTTCCCTGTGTAGCATTTCCTTGGAAGGGTACCTTTGGGTTCCGGGTGTAACCATCAATCGGAAACCCTATGTCAGTTCATATTACGTTAAATATAAATAACCAGTGTTCAATAACTAGTACCCTCAAGGCTTTACCTTTATAAATTTTTATAAAGTGTTACCAAGTGCAACTAGTAGGAAGTGTTATTCAGTATATATCAGCCTTAATCAGTATAGTCTAGTGTACAATATACTAGTGTTACATCATGACTAACACTACAAACCAGTCATGACAGGGCTAATACCATCGAGAACTTTAAAATACTGAACAAAATTAGAAGACATTAATCCAGACATCATCTTTAAAAGGTTTAATGTAACAAACACATAAGGCATCACCTTCAAGCTCAATATGCCACAGAAGATTTTTTGCTTACCCATGTAAACAATAAATGATTAGGTAGTTCTCTAGCTTGTGGGGCTATTGACTATTGACTTCATCTAGCATGAGAACTTCTACAGGATTGCAGAATTTTCACACTGTTCAATAGGCTTCCAGCCCTCACTTGCATCTGAATACTAGGACAACCAGCCTTGTCACCAGCTACACCACACAATGGTGTTCCCATGATAGCATGTGCATCTAATTTGTTACCACAGTAGTCTGCCATCACTGTAGCCTGCACTGAAGAATTCTTCAGTTCTTCATGTGAACTCTGTGATGAATTCACATAATTGAGTCATGGAGTTTAAGTGTTCCCCTTCAGTTGGCACCAGAAACAGGCCATACCAGCTCAGAAGAGAACCCTTCCAAGTGACTTTTATTGGTTTCCTAAAGTCATGTGATGACAATGACTGAAGTAATATAAAGTAAATAGTAAATAAGAACTGTAGTGATTAAAAGAAGGTGCCAAGTTGGGAAGACTATTTATTTAGCACTGTCAGTCAATGGATATTTAAAAGTGTTAAATATCCCTAAGGATGCCAATACACGAATTAAAAGACAAACAGATTGACATCAAAGTATCAGATTTACCAAGAATCGAGGGACCAGTGACCCGGAAAGATATTCCTTGCAGGAGAAGGTGGTGGTGAGAGAGAACAGGGTCCTCCTGAGAGGTAGTAGTCAAAACATGGCCCAAGGTAATGAAGACAGTAATGATTACAATGGTCCTGTACAGAGGACATCAGTTTCAACATAAAAGCTCTGGGTGGAGGACAAATGAAAGATACCAGGTGACAGAACATTAGGGTCAAGAGCCAACAATATCTTTTGCAGAAGTAGCCAAAGAGGGGCAGAGGCAAGGCTGATAATAAAAACAAGTGGTGGAGTCTATCAGATGAAAGCAGGCAGTGACCTGGAACAATAGGAAGGAAGCAACCTATTATTATAAACAACCTGACAAGACCAGAAGGACTTACACACAGAAGATAAAAAATTCAGACCAGGAGGAGTTAAAAGTTAAAAGGGATCCTAGACAAAGTGTAAGCAAGTAGGGCAACCCAAGAAATAGGGAAAAAAAATTCAGGATACAGAGGGGTCCAACAGGGATGACAAAGATCAGTAAAGATTACCTTCCAAAGAAGTAAAGTACAGTATATACTGGTAGAGAAGATTAAGGGATGTGGAAGATACAGTTGGGTGTTCATTGATTGGGACACGAGTAAGGAAGAGAGGAAAAGCGAAGAGAAATAGAAAGAGGGACAGGAAATAGAGTTAGGAGGGAACAAGAAGCAAGACCAGGGGCAGGACGATAATCAGGCACAGCAAGAAATCGGGCCTAATCACACCCAGAGATTGAACCCGGGATCCTCGATTGTGATCCGAGAACGTAGCCACTGTACTACCAACACTATCTTATAAAAATAATAATAATAAAAATAAATAAATAAAAAATTCACAAAACTATTACAATATCATAATGTTTCCCAGGAAAGCTAGAAAAAACTTCGAGGTATCTCATTTTGGGTTATTTAGCTTAGCATGGAAGATTCCATTAAAAATTTAATGATTTCCTTACCTGGCAGTCTTTGCAAGTGCCTCCTTCAAAACATGGATGTGGAGACACTATTTCACAATCAATGCTGTCACAAGCTATACAGAGTGTCTCAATATTGTGTTTCCCATCCCTGGCTGCCTTCAAAAGAGATGCTGAAATATTTTAATTACAGTATATTAAAAGTATGTCTTCCCCCTCTTTTTTTTCCATTTAATTATGACTCTAGGGTTATTGTTCTTCAGACTCAGGGTGTGATCCACTACTGGGTCATGTGAGATAAAGTCAAGATAGTGTTACGATAACAAGATGAAACTTATTAGTGCATGAAAATAATAAAAATTAAAATAATGAAGATAAAAAAAATTCTATTGATTAAATTGTATATACAGAAAGGTAATACTGTATATCCAATACAAGAAACCTAGCTTAACAAATAATTATACTACAAATATTTCCTTTAATTTATCATTTATATAATGCAATAAATATTTACTCATATGATTACAAACAAAAACAGCCACTTTCTAAGGGCAGACCATTATGGCTCCCTGAAGCTGGCACATTATCCCCGATAGTGTACCAACTACTAAGTCACATCAGCCGCGAAGTTCTATATGGGCCTACTGGGGAACAAGAACCAGAACCTAGTCCCCTCACAGAGGCACAGGGAGCAGTGGCCTTTATTTATTAGGCCACTACCAGGAAAGGCACCCAGAATGTCAGCGAAACAAAACCAGACCATAGCTGGCTTTAGAAAAGATCAAGCCTTGAGAACCACAAAAAGAGCTCCCTCAACAATGTAAACAAACAGTTGAAAAGTTTTGAACTAGTGCCAGCTCGTTCACCCACACCTCCCCTACTTGTTTGGGGAGGGGAGGGGGGGGGGAAACAGGAAGTAGTTTGCAGTCAGCCAGCAACACCACTCTCAGTTCTATGCTGATGTGTGTAGTGTGTGAATAGTTGCCTTTCTGCTGCTTAGGCTCTGGTTATTTGCTTTTGAACTGGGTGGTCTCTTGCCTTGTAGGCATTCCTCTGTGCAGTGTTGCACGAGTCTAGACATCACAGTACTTGGAGCTGCATGGGCACAGTGTTCTCTTCTGTAGGTGCTCCCTAGTGCTGCCCTTGCATTTCAGGGTTATCTTCCCTGGGGTGTTCAAGAGTCCCCTCCAAGGGAGCAACTCCCAAATACCCTGACCACCTTAGGCTCCTCCTTTGTGGGTTGAGGATAAGTCAGGTGTCTTTAAATTTCTTGACTTTACTCAGGCCAGGAGTGGAAGTGAGGGGGAGCACTGTGTATTTGCATGCTCCACTGTAGCACACTGGGGTAGATCTTTCCAGCAGCCAGAGCCAAGCTGTGTTGGCTAACTATGTCATTTCTATACCTTTATTGAGGAATGCATATTTAAAAAAAAAAAAAAAAAAACGTTGAATGTATTTAAATGCCATTTTCTGGGTGAGACCCGGAGGCTCCCCGGAGCTTACTAGGCTGATATGCTAATGTCGGACTTTGGTCGTCCCAGGTCATCCTCAGAGTTATTAGGGCTAGCCAGCCTGTGGTCTATCTCCGTGCCCATGACGTTCGTAAGTACACTGCTCTTGCTGCCATCTTTGGTAACATGTCATGGGCTGACATTCGGGCACGAGGTTTTTGGCAGTCGAAAAGGGTCCTGGCTGCTCGTTACCTTGTGAATGTCCCTAGGCCTAGTCGGGCCTGTGACACTTTGCAGCCAGTTGTCTCGACTTCGAGTTGAGGAGTGAGCAGCAATCGCCTCCCTGGTAAGTCCTTATGTTTTTTTCCTCTGTGGGTAGTTAGCTCCGGGCAGCCGAAGGGACTCCCCCCCCAAAAAAACAGCGTTGAATGTAATGAAACGCCATTTTCAGTATTTTAGCTCATTCCCCTTTGTTAGCTCTTGGGTTTAACCGGTTTAGCACCACCATGTCTGGGCTTTCCATAGCAGTCAACCTATGGGCCCTGGAAAACCCCGTTGGGGCTCGGTGGACCAATGGAAGCGTCTTCCAAGTTTCAGCTCTTCTCGTGCAAGTTTGAGGGTTGCTATGTGCCCTTGTCTCAGGGTGACAGTCACCCGTTTTGACTTCGTCATGATGCCTGTTGGGTCAACGACATCTTTGACCCAGAGTCTTGCGAGATGTGCTCTCTACTCGCACAATGAATACAATGCACCAGCATTGTATTCTATTTTAATTCACAGCCTAGCTTTTTTTCCATTTGTCAGAGGAAAACTATTCAACTCTTATTCACGAAAGCATGATCAACAGAACAGACTTGTGTTAATAAACCTTAAAATTTTACAGTAAAATGCATTCTGAGGAAATTTAGAAAGGAAGGAAGATATCCAGTAATTACTTTTAAAGGCTTCGTACATACTGACATAAAAAAACACACCTTTGGGTTTCCAGTTCTGTCGTTCATCAGCACTTGATGAATCTGAATTAACTGATGAAGATGATGAGGTAGGAAAAAACGAGTCGTGTGAAGAGGAGGTAGATGCCGATTTCCTCGACTGCATCCTTTTAATACGCCTCAGACAATGCATTATTTTTGAAGACAAACATAATACTGAAAAAAAAATAAAAAAAATAAATGCCAACAAAACTGATTAAGAATGGAACACACATTAATCAGGTATGTTCTGATCATAGCAAATCAAAAAGAGATCTCCAATCATCATCTCAGGATATAAAAAAGTGGTAAAAAGGATATGGGGTTCAATGATTAGAGGATGCTGTAATGAATAATGGTGGTGGTGATAGTACGGGAAGTGATGATGGGATAGGTGGTGATGGTATTGTTAGTGCTCCAAGTAACAACCTTTTAGATAAAATTATCTCAAGACAACCCTAGATCCAAGCTGCCCTTTGAGACCAGAATGCTTGAAAGTGACTACAGGTAAATACAGATGTTAAATATAAAACCAGCGTTAAATGTAATGAAACGCCATTTTCTGGGCGAGACCCGGAGGCTTCCCGGAGCTTTCCAGGCTGATACGGATATATTAGACTTTGGCATCAGTCAATGTGAATGGAATTCTAGGCCTATCAGAGACCACGAGCCAGAACCTGGCCCCCTCAGAGAGGCACGAGCAGCAATGACCTATAGAAATGCACATGTAGATATGGAGCATTCTATGTCTGTCATTGACTGGGTCAGACACAGAAAGGTAAGCATCCCAAAACAGACCCCATTTTGGTTGAAACTACTACTGAAAGTCAAACGAGTGGACAGAACTCCTCAAATGAAAACGAGCAAACGAGCATGACGTCATTACGTCGCAGTGCCACTTGTCTGCGAAGCCCCACCCCCCCTCCCCAGGAGGGGGAGGAGGCTTCGCAATTTGCTGGGTCCTTCGGTGCCATGGGTTGTCTTGTTTTCGATTCGAGTTGCGCATGGCGAACACTTCCCTGGTGCATCCCTCTTTTCCTTATCTTTGGTGAAGTAGCTCCGGGAAGCCGAAGGGACTCCCCCCCAGAAAACCAGTATTGAATGTAATGAAAAGCCATTTTCTGGGCGAGACCCGGAGGCTTCCCGGCAATCCTCCCTCCTTCCGATTGCCGGTTTTTCGCGTGTGTTGATATCCAGCCTCAGAACTGCAAGGTGGATCGCCGGCGTGAGGGTCTAATGCGCAGCGAAGTAATGACGTCATGCCGTTTGCTCGTTTTCATTTGGGGAGTTCTGTCCACTCGTTTGACTTTCAGTAGTAGTTTCAACCACAATATGGGTTTGTTTTGGGATACTTTTCTTTCTGGGTGCCTGACCCGGTCAATGGCAAAAACATGTGCATTTCTATAGGCCACTGCTGCTCGTGCCTCTCTGAGGGTGCCAGGTTCTGGCTCATAGTCCCCAGTAGACTTAGACATTAACATTGACTGATGTCACAGTCTAATATATCTATATCAGCCTGGATAACTCCGGGAAGCCGAAGGGGCTCCCCCAGAAAAAGTATTGATCCCTAAAGGGTGACTTGTGACTTGAATTAGACTCACAACTGTCAACCCATTTTTCTTAAAAATTACAATTTACAAAGATATTTTCCATGATGCAGAGGGAAAAGGTCAACAAGAACCTGACAAGTGATAAAAATCCTTGGCGGAACATATTGGCTCTGAATTGGGGAGTATTCAAGGTAATGGTTCAGAAAGGAATCTTACTGTGTTAAAAACACACAGTTTTGCATAAAAAGCAGGGAAATCACAAGCATCCAATTTAATATGTTCACAAATCTTTAAGCAATTAAGGAGTTCTGCCTCCTTACTAAAAACATTTATATTGAGCTCACCTATGTTTTGTTCAAAATTTATTGCCTCGGGAAAGCCATTATGAGCCCATTTCATCAGCGATTGTTTTGAATCTACGTCTTCCAATCCAGACTGCTGTCTATATTCCTGAAACAAAAAATACAAATGCTTAAGCTGGTTACTAAACAAAATATTGTGATTAATAATCAATTTATCTGGTGCAGTATCAATGAGGATGTTGAGGCACCATATAAATATTATTACAATTTCGGCTAGGTTTACCTTTTATGCTCGATTTCCTAACAGGATGAAAAAACAGCCGGGAAACAGACCTTTCAGTCCAAAAAGACCACATGGCTCATCCCTAAGAAAAGAAACACTTAGTCCGTCTTAATTCAATCAAAAGTAGGGCTGATAAATTCAATTCAATTGTGCTCTGGGTTGTCAGAAGGCATTAGCAACCCTATGCACCATACAAGCAAAAGGAGAAAAGGGGGGAATTACAAAGAAAATATATTCTACACAATTTCTAATCTATACTACTCAAAAAACTAATTAAGGTGGCCTATTTTACACGAGCATTGTCAGCACTTGCATGGTATCTGATAACATGGCTTTGCAAATACCTAATGTTCAATTTTTATAAAAATTCAAGATTGAAATAAAATTAAGAATTTTGTCATTACTCGGGGCTAAGGGCCCAACAGAATGGATTATTAAAAGTTGTTCTAGTGCAATCAAAATTTATTGACATTTTATATGTAAAAAGGGGTGCAATTGGTCCAAGTTTCAGCATCGCAGCCTATATAGAGAGGGAGAAAAAAAAAAAGTATTTGAGACAATTTTTCAACATTTTTCAAAGAACTCGAACAAACACAAGTGTCAACCGAAATCATTTCTATGACACTCAGTTATCACATTACCATAAAATAAAGATTTTGTAGGAAGATTTCTATCCCAAATGTATTTAGTGCAATAATACAAATTTTCAAAGTTCCCCAAAAAATTATGCAACAAAATGTTTATAAATATTTATAAAATCAATAAATGGACTTAGGAAAACAAAAATCCCCCAGTTTTTAGAGGCATAAACTCTACATATAATGTGCAAGTTTCATGTAAATTTAATAATAAATGAAGAGTTTGAACTCCCATGTAGTTGTTAATTATTTACCTGTACAAAGGTCAAAGTTCAGCCATCTGTGGCCGAGGTTGACGTCGACTTATTAATTTTTTAATAAAACTAATTATAATTTTTTTTAATACAGTATATGCTATTGTGATAGCTGGGAGTCATAGTTGGATTTCAGTTGACACTTGTGTTTGATAATTGTTTTTGACCATTTTGGAAAATTGTTGACACATAATTCAATATTTTTTTCACTCTTCCTATTTATGCTACGATGCTGAGACTTGGACCAGATGAAACCCTTTTCATATATGTCAAAAAAGTTTGATTGAAATCAAACCATTTTGAAAAACGTTCAAAATGTTCCTAATGCCCCCTTAAGTGTGGATTTTCAGATGGTCCAAGTATACAGTATCTCTCTTGTACTCTCTGCTGTATAACAGCTTTTTACACATGCCATATGACTTGCATCTTAAAAAGTTTGGGGTTTATATTAAATACCACTGTACCTCCCATGCATTCTGCACTTTATTATGTACTGCATTTGAGTACTCATTTGACTGCCCTAAGGTAAAATGCCATTATTATTTGACAAGTCCCCTGAAGCGACCAGCCCCAAAGAGCCAAGGGCTGCATCGAACCCCCCCCCCCTCGGTTCAGGCCATTAGGGCGCAGTCCGAATGGAACCAGATTTGTCGATCCGCAAGCGACACGAACCCTCTGAAGCGACATCTACACCGCCGTGAACTCCCCGCACCGTGCTGCGCACCCAATGTAAGGACAAACCCTCACTGCCACTGGCTGGCCTGGCGAGCACTGGTCACAAAACCCCAGCCAAGACACAACACATCCATGGACATATTGAACGAGGGCATGGGGAGGCACCACGGCACTGAACCCCGAAAAACCAGAAGAGGACAGCCAGACGTAGCAGCCGACACAAGAACCTAAGAGGTTGAACCCAACGATTGTGAGAGCAATAGAAGGGATGTCCCCAAAGGAACCAGAACTGCCGCAGAAGCCAGACCCAACCCGGCAGGTAAACTAGCATGGCGAAGTTACTCCTGCACAGCTGCTTGAGTAACCAAGAAGTGACCTGGGAGCCCCCCAGAAATGGCTGAACGCGGGACTGCAGCTGCAGCAACGACACCAGAGAGAGAAGCAAGGAAACGGTCCGAGAGTCCCACACAAGACCCAGCCAAGTCCAAACCTGAGAGGGAACCAGATGGGACTTCCTCCAGTTCATCAAGAACCAGAACTCGGCGAGCTAGAAAAGAACCAGAACCCGGCGAGCTAGAAAAGAACCAAACCCCTGGCGGGCAGACATGCGGACCGGCTGGGAGCCTGCACCAGCCAGTCATCGAGGTAGGCCAGAACCCGAACCCCTAGCAGAATCAAGCGGGTCACCACGTCCCGGATAAGGCATGTGAACACGTGAGGTGCCAGATTCAAGCCAAATGGAAGGTAACGAAAGCAGTAAGCTTGATGCCCCACGACAAAACGGAACCAGTCCCTGAAACCCGGATGAATCGGGACATGCCACTATGCATCCCAGAAGTCCAGAGACACCATCCAAACATTCGGCTCCAAAAGAAGCCAGACCTGGGACAGATTGGTTATCCGAAAGGAAAGGCAAAAGACCCAGGGGTTCAGCGGGACAAATCCAGAATGAACCTCAGATTCACAGTCCCGTTTGGGGACTGGAAACAGGCGGGAAATCCACCTGAGGGACGGGGTCATTTCGACTATGCATAAAGCGAGATGGGACCCCAGAAGATGCATCCATTGGACCAATGAGCCCCAATAGGGTTTTCCAGGGCCCTTAAGCTGACTGCTAAGGGAAGCCCAAGCACGGTACTGCTAACTGGTTGGCCCAACTACCAAGAGATCTATTAAACCTGAACACCTGCAAAGTGTACAATCACGAGGACCTAGTGGGGGACCACCAGAATAACAGAGGATTGACAATAACCAAGGGGCAGATCCCCACCAGGCAACAAATAAAAAGACAACGTCTCCAGGAGGAACAGAAACGGCCGCTGTGTAATATGTGACAAGCTGTACAGTACTTTGCGCCCCTACCAGCAACAATACTACCTCCTACCCAAGGTCAAACAGAGGAAATGAAAACCCCTGCTGACCCCAAGGTGGGCAATTACCGAGCAGCAAAAGCTCTCTACGGAGGTAGTTCCCAAACAACCTGTGGAAGGCAACCCCAAGCCGCAAGGGCAGTACTTACAGGGCATCTAGGGAAGGTGGCCCTAGGCGCATGCAGACCCTGTACTCTGTGAATTACTCCTGGCTCACACACCACCACACAGCAGAACAAAACTGGAAAGGCACAGCACAGCTCAGAGACAGGAGCCAGAGTCGAACGACTGTCACACAGCACATTAGCCTCAGAACTGGGGTTGGATAGCTGGCGTGATCACTCTGGGGTTCCAAGTGAGTGACAAGCAGTTGTGACATCATGCTTGTTTTTAGATTGTGGAGCTCTGCTTGATAATTCGGTTTTCATTAGGAATTTTTAACCAGGTGGAGTTTGTTTCAAGATGTCTACCTTTCTGGGTGCCTAACCCAGTAGATAGCAGACATAGAATGCTTCCAACCACACATGGGATTTTTTGTAGGCCATTGCTCCTCATGCCTCTCTGAGGGGGCCACGTTCTGACTCGTGTTCCCCGGTAGGCTAGAACTCCAATTGAATTGACTGATGCCACGGTCAATATATATCAGCACACATACATATCAGCTTGGTATAGCTCCGGGAAACTAGAGGGGCTCTTCACAGAAATAAACATCTTTTACCTGCATTTAACAGTTGCTAAGGCAGGTAACTTTCAGCTTGTATAAATGCTTTCAGATCTTAAACAACTGTAACTGCTGCTACTTTGTCAGTGCAAGCAGCCTCACCCATTATTGTAGCATTGTGAAAGATGCCAGCAATTCCTGAAATTATCACAAATTTATGATCACTTAGCATACATGGAAGCTGCTGCATCAGCTGCTGAGCCATTCCAAGCTAGTAAATCACCCTTACTAGCTTGGACTGGCTCAGCAGCTGATGCAGCAGCTTCCATGTGTGCTAAGTGATCATAAATTTGTAAAGCCTTTGCAAACATTAAACCAGTTAACAGACACTGCTCTCTGATTCTGGTCTCTCACCCACACTGCTAGCATTGGAGTGAATTCACACAAGAAATATATGGTATTTAAGCACAGAACACAACAAGCAAGACATATGGTGAGCAGTACAAGTTAGGTAAAACTACAAGCCAAAAGGATATCCCATCACAGCATTAACTACTAAACAACAGGTCATAACATCGAATTGCTCATTTAGAAGCAAACCCGTTTGATCCTTGGCAGTAAAGAAAGTATTTACCCATTCCTGAATTTGCATTTTTTTAGTACGCTCAATTCAAGGGACCACAGTATAAATAAATTAGGTAATGAGCTAACTACAATAAATAACTAAAGCCGAATATTAAGTCAACCAACATCATCAGAGGCTTCTGAAAAAATTACCAATAGGCAGGTATATTCAGGTATAATCATATACAGTGTACTGCATATTCAAGTACAACATTTAAATTTCCAGTTATTGTACAAAACTCTCAAAAGAACAAAACTGATAATTATAATGAAGAACAAATGTACTGTACATTATCTCCAATACCAGAGTATCAACGTACCTTAATACACTCCAAGACTGCTGCATTGAATGAAAATTGGGATGATGTTGAAAACTGGCTTTTGAAATTCTTTGCAAAGTCCATGATCTTTAATACAGGCACCTGTAATGATTAAACAATGTATTTAACTGGTTACTGCTGTTTACCTTGATCCCCCCTGCAACTTGCAACTTTGGCATGCAGGTCAAGAATCTCCCTGAAATAATTCAGCAATTGACCATCTCCACCGTTACCTGTATAATGCATTACATTTTACATAATCTTGTTAATGTTATTATAACTGTAATTTACTAAGTATTCTCCTGAGAGTACATTGTTAGGTGAAAGAACTGTCCTATTCAGAGAATGTTTATGTTAGCATTACTTGATACTGTGTATGCCTGTGTTTCACATGCTAGGTACCACCACACTCAACTTCAAATGCAGTCAGACACACCAGACAGACAGGAGGCAGCATTGTGAAGTTATTACCTCCAACACTGCAACTCTGAGTTGCAAGTTGTCTCCCCATACACTTGAGAGTTCTTACTTTAATCATGCGATCACTTCTGCAGCCTACGATTGCTATCCATTATGTGTGAGAAAAGAACAGCTTCCTTCCATGAAATGGGAATACAAAAATTTGTATTTATAATGGATATCCCCCCTCTCTCCATCACTGAGGAGGCGATGAACCGTAGGACCTCGTATTCGTTTACGACAGCTTGGAAATTAAAAAATTAAAAAGGGTGATGCTGAGGATTGAGACTCGCATCCCTTAGCCCTTAAAGTATGGTTATCAACATATGCCGATTCACAGGGATATGCGGTTATCATACGTTGACTTAAACTACAGTATTATCTGGGTTTTACACGTATGATGCTAATATCAATAAAATAGCTCTATGTAGATGTAATGGAGTTTACCTTGACACACACAAAAATCCTCTTCATACACTTCCTCTATACACACTTTACAGTTTATACTACAGTAAACAGTACACAGTACATATGTATGAGCTCGCTTATCCACATTCCACTTAACAGGATACTTGGGTTATCCAGGCAAAATCACATCCTGATAATTTTCTGGCAAAACTTTGCCATATCCGTACAGAAATCAGGATAACTGGAGGTTAGGTTACATATACTTTCAAGAACTACACATTTCAAAATCTACAGTATCAAACAAGAAAAATTACAACAAGGTAGGCTGAAGTTTCTCTTTCAAATTATATTTTTGATTTATAGTGTGTGTGGAAACTCAAATTATGTTGGTTGTGGTACAAAAAATTGCAAATGCAGTATAGTAATTTTTGGACTTTCCCGGTAAGAATTCTGCTTATCGGGATGTCTGACTTATCCAGTGAGAGGTCCTTCCCCATATAGTCCGGATAAGCGAGCTTAGACAGTAAATGCTGTAGGTCTAGAAACATTATCCTTATTAGATAGTAATATACTCATAGTTTTTGTGAATTATCTTCTCATAAATCAAGTTATTCAACATTCATACTAGAGTAAATACATGCACCAGTTACCTCGTACCTGAACGTTCATGAAGTTCTCAAGAGAGATGAGAAAAGTTTTTAGGAAGATGCGAATGCCGGCTGAACTTTCAAATAGAAAAATATTAATCTTCTGAAGAGATAAACGATCAAAAAAATATCCAAGTTGAACATGGAAGTTATATTTTATATGATAGCATCAGCAAAGTTATTATTGGGTATAGACAGATGTTATATGCCGGAAAATATGACATACTTTGGCTTAAACTTAAGTGTAATAACTTACAATAATATCATCGTATGTTAAGTATTAATTACCCATGTCATTCAGGCTATAACATTGACAAACTAAAAACCCTACCTGAGATACCCGGTTGTCTGCAAACCAAAATACGAAAGCACTGCCCAGAAACGGTGCTCTCATTCCACAATCTTCATGGTTCACAATGATAGCTAGGAAAATATTACATATTAGTTTAAGGATTACTATAAATATACCTATATATACAAAACAGCAGTTTAATTACATTAAACATTAAAGAAAGGTATGACTAGTCACCTATTATTTATTTTTATTTATTTATTTTAAATATACCAGTATATATAATATATAAATAAATATTTCTTAAAATAATACATTACTAAAACAGACATGACACACTCAAGAACTCTTAGATATATACAAAAAAAATTCAATTTAGTCCCCCCCCACCCCCCAAAAAATGGGGCAGGAATAACTTAACTATAAATTATAGTCACTAAAATCTGGTACCAAATTATGGTACCAAATCTACACAGTAAAATAACAACGTACTAGAGTGAACGATATGGAAGAAAATGCAGAATAGAATCAGTGAAGAGCAGGGGTGCCATAGGCACAATCAGAGAACACTGTATAAAGCCGGGCTTGGGGAGTAGAAGAACTCCCAGAACCCCATCAACCAGGTATCAACCAGGACAGTAGACTACTGTAGGAGTTGAAAGATAAGTGACTGTTTAACCCTTGTGTTACTAAGGGCTATTTGGCCATTGTCACCCACAAGTGCATAAAAAAAAAATAAAAAAAAAATAATAATAATTCTTCTAAACCTGTTATTTTTGTTTTCCCTGATCATGGAAAAAATAATAATAAAATCATAAGTGGCATATTTTGCCCACTATAGGGTAGGGAAGTATGGTAAAAGAGAGGCGCTGACTCAGCGTGTGTCCAAGGCGGTCTGCTCAACCCCAGCTGTCAGGCAGGAGTGGCCACAGAGATAATTACCCAATTATTTCAATGACTCTTGATTGACTTTTCTTCATTTTTTTGCTGTAGTATTATTCAATAGTGTGTAGTGTGATATATTTATATAATAAAATGTGTGAATCATCGCTGTACTCAAAATTATGGTGTGCATATTATTGATTCAATTATTATGTTTATAAAACAATAAACAAATACTTTGTCAGTTATTACACGATATACACAGGTTATATATATGTATCTGCATGTTTTGTTCACCATAACGAACCACTAAGTTGATAGTGCAAGTCAAAAAGCAGCGAGGTGTGGCCACCACATCTGCCAGTCAACCTCTCACTGCTACTCCCTCCTCAATGACTCCTCACTCACCCACATCCTCCTCCCATCATACTGTTCTTGCATAGTATTCACTATATACAGACGTTATATATAAGTATCTACATGTTCTGTTCACCATAACTGTTCATCTAAGCTGGTATAGTGCCCAAAGAGCATAGTGGCCACCCCTACCCAGCATGATAAATCATGCAGATGATGCCACCTCCCTCACCAAAATGACTTCTCCCCACACTCCTTTTGCTGTTATTACACTATATATACACGTTATATATATCTACATTTGTGTTCACCATAACAAACCACTAAGTTGGTATGCTGAGTGGCAGTGGCAGCCCCCCACTGCCTGTCACTCCCTCCCACCCTCACCTCACCTGACTTGCCACCATACTGCTTTTGCTTTTATTCACTATATACTGATGTTATATACAAGTATCTGCATGTTTTGTTCACCATAGTGAACAACTAAGCTGGTATAGTGAGTCCAGACAGTAAAAGGTGGTCACACAGAGTCAGCAGACAACACTACCTCCCTCCCTACCAAGATCACTCCTCCCACTACAAAGCTAATTATCACAACAATCCTGATATCAGAATCCTAGTCATTTTTATCAGTCAGGGGTCTTCTGTAATACTATCACCGCTAAATAATAGCACGTACATATATATTATGGCATTTTTAGGCGATGCTGTGGTCACAAGCTGATCAGCAGTGCTGTGAGCTCATGCTACGTGCGCCAACCTTGGTGGCTCACTCAATGTACTGAGGACCTCACACCCGGGAATGTGGCCCAGGATTTTTTATAAAATTGGCGTCTGTTTACAAGAGCCCTGATGAAGGTGAGGTGAACCCCATGTATCCGCGAGCCATTTAAATCTTGCGTAGTACTCCAACACGTCATATGACATGTTATGCAGTTTAATGGTTAAAGTTCAGTCAAAACAAGTGTAAAATAATAAAGATGGAAAAAGATGGCTTTTACCAGAAGGAATCTGTATCATAATGGGACAGCAACTACAGGAATAAAAAAAAGCTAAGAATTAAGGAGTTGATATAATTCCAAAACCAACACCGGAAGATCACTAACAGTATACCGTCAGTAGCATATGGAAAGCTGACAAACACAAGATTGAAATTTATAAATCTAAGCAATAATTCAAAACAACTCACAGCCAAAATTAGATCAGTACTAGAATATACAACACAGGAATGAAATCCATACCATGTAAAACACAAAAAGAAACTTTGAAAAGCAGAGGTTTGTAACTTTGCAACAAAGCTAGTGCCTGAATTACAGAGGACTAAACTATGAAGACCACTGGCTTGAACTCGATCAAAAATCCTAGAGTAAAAGAACAAGAGGGGAGATGAACTTGCATACATGATATTGAATGGAATAGTCAAAATGAACTCTTTAAATTGAGAGAAATTTGGACAAGAAGACATCAGAGGAAGTTTGAAACTCAAGAAAGTCTAAGATTACAAGGAAATATTTGTACCACATACACTCAAAGTTGAATGCACAGAAGTAAAATGTCATGCAAGCAACCTCCGTCCACACCATCCTGAGTAAAAATGACACAGAACACTAACAACAAGGAATTAAATAAAGCTAGAATGTGAGGCAAATAGAATTAGATCATAGATCTTACTTTATTGAAGCTGATAAGCAAACACACATATATAAGCATTAAACATTAAATCTAAGTGATGTTCTAACTAAATATAACAACTTAATAAATTACCCCTACCATGAATACTTAAGAAGGAAGTGAATAAAATTTAAATTATTTTTATAACAAACAATTTATGCAGTTCTTTATGTCATTTCTATAAAAATAAATATATTAACCTGGCCAGGATCTGGAACCTGAAATCTTGGCCCACACAAGTCTTCCATAGTGAGTACTGGATACAGAATTAGCAGGTGCTGATGTTCCATTCTGTGATCTTAAAATCTTCCGTGTCTGAAATGGAAAAAGTGTACAATACAGGTACAGTACAGTATATTACTTTTTATATACGAGTCAATAAAGAAATGCTTTAACCACTAATAATGCAATTTCTAAAGTGTGTGAGAGTGCAGTGTCATCACAAATTTAACAATCTATATGGCTAGCTCCAGGAAGACCACTACCTAATCCAAAGCCATGGGGAAAAATCAGAGCTTGGCCAGGTTACAGAGAAATCAATGGGAACTGCATAAACCCCCCACAGCCTCAGAAAATTCTGGGTAATAACTGCCCACATGGACACTTACTGAAACTGAAAAGAAGACTAAGCACTCCTGAAGCAAATGGGTCAAAACAGAAACCCAGAATTAACACCACAGCTTGTGAGCACGAGACTAAACCATGAGGGAAGGTGGCAGTTCCACACCGACGTGAAGAAGTCCAATTTGGGGAGACTGGATCATTATCAACGGTCCACTTTGTGGAAATGGTATGGAAATGGGATAACCTGTACATTAGAACGTTGGGTAAACCCCGCATATGAACCTCGCTGAGAACCAAACCCTTTGAAGCCAAAAGCCAAGCTACCCAAAGTTGTTCAGATCCATAGGGCAATGGAACAGTGACTCTTCCTTTATTCAGGCAATGAACCACCAGAGAGCAGTCCAAGTGAAGCCAGAGGACTAATCTCCAAGGTAGTCAAATCCTCCTCAGGGTATGCCATAATGCCACAAACTCGCACACCATGCAGTGCACCCAAAGGAATGAACCTGGCCACTCCCTTTGAGCAGCCTGGTCACGAAACCTCAACCCCGAGACGAAGCATCCGTGAATACATCGAGAGATGGGGGAGGATAGCATCACAGAACTGAGCCTTGAAAAGTTCCCCAGGGAAGCCAACAAAGCAAAAGCCAACAAAATGCAAGTGGGTTCCAAACCCAATGTTCCTAGGAAGGGTAGAACTGGAGAAACTGGTACAACATCTGGAGCCAAACCATAACCATGGAAAAAGAGAATACTGTACTGTATAAGGTTGCTTATCCAAATCTTTGGGTATTCCGGCAGTTTTTAAGGCCAGATAAAAACCATATCCGAATAGGAATTTGGATAACCAAATATTTTGTCAGATAATGCAGTCAGGCATCGGGTCATACCATATAGCAGTGGCTCGAGGTGCTGGGTATGGGAGGTGTTGAGGTGGCTGGTGTCAAGGTAAGGGGTATTGGAGAGAGAGGAGAGTTGGGAGTGACTGACTGGGATGTGGTGGGTGTGTGTGTGTACGTGTAGGGTGGTGTGGGGTGGACCATGGACCTCTCAGGCAAACTCCCGAACACCAGGGAAAGAGAACTGACTGACTAAGGACAGCATAGCAGGCAACTCAGGGAAGAAAACCCGAGCTCATGCAGGCTGAAACGCAACAAGAGCTAAGCCCACACAAGCCAAAATGAAAATATGCACAAGAAGCCAATACTAAAACATAGAAACAACACACAAAGCAAATGGCCTCTGAAGGACAACAGAATCCAAGGATGGCTGTCACAGCTTAAAGCAGTCTTGCCCACAATCTGATGAACCAGAACACTACAAGCAGCTCCACATACTACTTCATCAGCAACTGAACCAAGATGGAGAGTCAGTTGAGGGCAGGAGCTAGTACCGATTCAACCATCCTCTTAAAATTATGTCGCTTTTCGATCATATGCACGCTATGGCCAAAAATGGACGAAATTTGAAATGAAATCGGCTCATGAAAGTGGTGTACTGTTCCATTTTCTGTTTTCAGTCATCCGGCTTACTCAGTTAGGTTAGGAGAGGAAACTTTCAATTAATGGTTTTCATGATGTTATGAAACCTTGGGAGAACTTCCTGCCCTCCTAACCTACCAAATGGACCCTTAATTTGCCGTTTTGGAAAAAAAAAATCTAAAATTTATTTTCAATTATTTTTCATTTTCAAATTACATTCATTTTTGGGCAAACGGCCAAATTCAGACGTAATTTGTAAGAGGACAGGTTGATTGGTTACTACCTGGTGGTAGTAATCGGTACCAGCGAGTTTCAAATCAGTTTGAATGAATCCCTTGTTCTGTGTGAATCCTTTAAGGAATTGCATGACATTTTAGAGGCTATATTTTCTGTAATATTTGCCAACTTTCTGGAAGCTTTTTCCTGTATGGTACTTACCTAGATGTGCTTGTGGGGGGGTTGAGCTTTGGCTTTTTGGAAGGGTGTTGGACTGTCACCTACTCCCTGTACTCTGAGAAGGGGGCCAGGATTTGGCTCTAGTCCCCAGAAGGCAAATTAGAATTTCTGTGACTGATGTGACTTTTGGTATGGATCAATCTCTGCAAGATAGCTTCAAGGAGCCACCTGGGACCTTCCTCCAGCAAAGTTATTATGATATATACAATTAAACCTTACCTCCAAGACATCTTCATTTGTAAGAGGAGCGATGCTTTCTTCGGCAATATTCTCCTCATCATAATTCAAACGCCTCAGGCACCTACTTGGCTTTGTTTTCTGTTAAATAAATAACTAGTGTTGTACATTTTACCTTCAAGTGACCACTAATTTTTACTCTTAAATAAGATCAAAGTTATATAGGCCTATTATCAGAATAAATAGAAAACATTTTGGTATCAAGCGACACACACACATACCTGGTGCAGCTCCATAGTACTGTATGTGCTAAATTAAGTTTCCAAGTCCTCTTTGTTCCTCAAAATCTCCTGAATGAAACTTCTGCAGAAAAAAAAATCTTGTTGAGAATACAGGTTAACATGTTCTGACACAAGCTTTAAAAATTGTTTAAAGAATCTCCTGGCATCTAGATATTATATATAATAAATAATAAATAAATGTTTATTCAGGTAAAAGTACATACAACATACAAGATGAGTTACAAGCAGAATGTTATATTTCTAGATTGAGCTAGTACATACTATGCCTAAAGCCACTAATACGCACAGCGTTTTGGGCAAGAACTATTTTCCGGCATTACTAAAATTAAATATTATTACTCGCCATTAAATTTATAATTTATTACCATACAATAATTAGTATACTGTTCACGTAAGGTACTGTATTGTATAGTATTGTATACTCTCAATGCAATCAGAAACTGGATCCCAATATTCTATAAGCTGAGAAATTTATATATGTGTCAGGTAAGTTACCAACAGTTTCCATTTGCCTCAAATTTATCAAGTTGCAATGATAGCTATATAATTCATGAAGGCAATATTAATAGTTTTACTGACAAAGCTTACATTGGGTCCGGTCTGCATTAGAAAAGAGTTCCAAATCCCAGAGATACTTACAGCCAAGCCCAAGTCTAGCAGTAGTAACGTCCAGAAATCTGGTGACTTTACTGGATGATAAAGAGATATGTGGTTCTTCCTATATAGCATGATGATAGATGAAATAAGTACTGTATAGATTTCTCTTTATATTAGGTCTGTTAAATTGTTTTTGTTCTAAGTATATTACTACCCTCAGACTGCTCATATTAAATTGACTGATACAATTAGTTGTGAGCCAACTGCTCTAACCATTTAGTAGCACAGAATTTGGCAGACTTTCTTTCGTAAATTATTTTAGAGCCTGTGTACAGTTATGAATGCTGTTCATAGTTCATTTCACTGGTACAGTATACATTACCACTTTTATATTTTTTTTTTTTATTTTTATATACAAGAGTTATTACATTCTTGTAAAGCCACTAGCACACACAGCGTTTTGGGCAAGTCCTTAATCATAATTTTCCCAGGAATATGGCCTGCCAAATCGGAACTATCGTTTAACAACCAGATACCCATTCACTGCTAGGTGAACAGAGGCTAGTTAAGGATTGGCACCCTGTTAATCCTCCCTGGCCAGGATACAAACCCAGGCCGAAGCATTCACGAAGCGTCAAGCAAGTGTCTTACCACTGCGCCAAGGACTTTCGTTCATCGACAGACCACTGCGTAAGAGAGGAAGCTTTTTAAAGCATTTCATGGTCTCTTGACATCAATCCAGTTACAAGCCAATATGCTAACATTTACCTGAGGATCACTATCTATCTAGTAGCCTCAAATGGGACAGGAAGCTGGTGGCTTGTCAAAGGTCCGGTTCCTTTGAGTTTTAATATTTGTATGTGAACTGCCTGCTGTAACAGGTCTTCTGTATCTGGATTTAGTTTAGTTTGTTTATTATGTACCACATGCTGATCCTGATAGTACTCGCCTAGTTGAGTACTTTCATAGTAACAAAGTTACCACTTTGGTTACTTCAAAGTATGTACTACAAAGTGGTAATAAAGCAGGTTACAGAAGCATTTATGGGCAATGAAACTGAACACTGAGTCATATCATACACAGACATTAAACACTTGTCAGTTTGTCCATAAATTCAAATTTTAATAAGCGTACTTTCTAATGGTATACCATGGATTTAAATTAATTAATAACATTCTATATGCAAACCAGAAACTGCCGACCCCCCCCCGTGACGCTCACACACAAACACTTCACACACTATATAACCCCGGCTTTGTTCAGCGGTCTCTCTCTTGATAATGGTGAGGCAGCAGCAGCAGGCTCACCAGGCAGCAGCAGGCACTACAGCAGGCAGCAGCAGCAGGCACCACACCACACACATGGCCGACACTCGCCACACAAACTCTCTAGTGAACCCCCCTTAACACCACCATACGCACCATACCGGACTACAGCAAATGCAGTCTGCGGAAGAACCGATCAAAATCCGTATACCGTATATATAAATACACACACACACACGTGAGAGAAATCAAGTTAATATATGAACTTGTTAGGTTATAAGGTAATGAATGGTGTTTAGGTCCGCTGACCCACAGGGGTACATGACCCTGTAACCTGGCGGCGGCACCACTGGGGTAAACATCACCGTTAACTTTCTTATGTAACATTCACTACACTCAACTCTCTCTTTCTCAGCTTTCTTTTCCCCTTTTTAATGTGAAATTATCCACTAAGTACCTTGCATCCTGTAGTTGGGGTTATTTTCTGTCTAACGTTGGTCGAGTTACTTGATATAATATCGTTAATGGTGCGTTCAAGTTCAAGTTCAAGTAAGTTTATTGAGACAAGAAAAAAAATACATTTCAAAGGGATAGAGTAGCTTAGGCTACTTCTACCCCCACGATGGTGCGTTTATATGCTAATTTAGGTATACTAATATTACAGTGTAAAACTTATAATAATTATAATAATACTATTAACAATATTTATTCATAAGAAATATATTTGGGCATGATTATGGGGTGTATAAACCCCACCTTCGAAAGTACGACACAGGGCAAAAATCATCCAAGAATTAAGTCAACTCTCATTCCGTTGAGGTCTACAGAACTAACAATAACTTCAAATCAGATATGACAGGGTTAATTGCATCGAGACTTTAAAACACTGAACAAGTTGGATGATATTAGCCTAAACCACTTCTTTAAATTGTCATATGTTACGCATATAGAGAGCAAAAGCTTAAAGCCCAACAAGCCACAATGTAGGACATATAAAAAAGGATACCCACGAAACTGCTTATACCCGCTGAAGCTGTAAATACCATAACATTCTAAGCCATTATGACCATGTGCCATTTGAAGGGATGAGGATAAGGATTTGAGATAGGACGGAGGAAAGGAATGGTGCCCAACCACTTGGACGGTCGGGGATTGAACGCCGACTTGCAAGAAGCGAGATCGTCGCTCTACCGTCCAGTCCAAGTTGTTGGGCGGTGGACTGGGGCTAGTCCAAAGGAAGACCTGAGAAGAAACTAAGTAACCTGGTAGAAATGAGTGGTATAATAACTTGGTATTATATGCAGGGTGCATTACAAATAAGGGGTACCTTATTACTTACTAGCAAGTTTTCTTAAGAGGTTCTAGGGTTTCTATGAGCCCGATATAATTCACTTAAAATTTCATTGTTATATGAAAGATGTTTGCATCGCCTAGTGTTCGATGTGCTGAGTGACTTTAAAAACAGGGAGATTGGATTTTTTGTGGAAACAATAAAACCACATTCAATATTTCTTGTTGCAAATAGGTTTGGAAAGCATGCAGCCAGTTACCACTGTTTGCAATGATGCCGATGACAGCATCATAAGCTTGTTCAGATATGTCAGCTATCAATGTCTCACCTTGTATGGCCGTGAACCAAAGGGACCAATAAAATGTTGACCTTGGTAATTTAAATTGTGAATGGGAATTCTAATATCCAGCTGGATATTGTTACAGTATTTATGAATTAGTCACAAAAAGTTGACCTATTGTAAAGCATTTTAAATCCCATTGAAATACATATTGAAATCACATTAACATTCACAATCACATTATCAACGAGAAAATTAGTAGGAGCTACGAGGAAAAATTCAAGCCAACACGCGCCCCTATACCACTATATACTGCAGTCAAAAGAAATACGATCAGTTAAATGAGCTATGTTCAGTGATTTTGAGTCAAGCTAGCCCTTAAATCTGTCAAGTTCCAATTTTGAAATGTAACAAAAATTAAAAAGTGAATTAAACTTAACGATTTGGGTGGAATCACATTAACTGTGAGGAAGGCAATTAGTGATGGGTTAAAGGTGAAATAGTGTGAAAATGAGTCCTAGTATTCATTTTCAAATCTATAAATGGTACAGGCAGTTTTGTATAGGAATCTACCAAGTACTTTTTATAGGCTGTATAGTTATTTGATAAATTCTAAATTTAAATTTGACTGGATTATTCAATAAATTGATCTTTATTTATAAATAGTACATGATAGCGGTGCGAGCCTTCAATATTTTCTAGTTTATGAAGCAGAGTGATTTCCAGCACAACTGATACAATTGGTTGGTGGATCTGTCATAATTAGATTCAGGTGGTCAGATTTTCTACAAGAAAATAAGAGTCTGGGTTTGGTGTTGTTTTAGATTTAGCTACTCAGAACAAAATGTCCCTGTTGCACAGGCCATAATGAGCCCGTAAACGAATTCGGTTACTCACGATAACCTTGTTACTGTGATATTTAGAAGAAAAGTCTAGTTTTGGAAGATTGCATAGACAAAAGATACAGTATACTCTTTTTGCACAACTTTCAAGCCTTCCTAGCACTGTCATGGTTGGGAGGTCTCCAAGAATCAAAACAATTTTTTAAAGGAAAATTTGTCTACTCTAACATGGTGGGTTGCAGTCATATGCATTGAGGTGCAGTATGGAACAGCCTTAATTCAAATGGATAGTTTTAAATAGTCATGATAATTATTTGTCTTTAATGAAGACTATGTAGAATGATTGTGTCTACACTAGAATTAAATCTTAAATTCTTCATATTTTTTTACCAATCATTAACTTGGTAAACTTCACAAGGCAATCTCTTTGTTCAACAATTGCATTTTGATAGTCGGCATTCCAGTATGCTGTACTGAAACGTGATGTTAGTGCAAACTGATTGGACTAGTTTAATATTAAATTTTTATCCAAATTAAAGTACTAATATTTAATACAAGTCAGTCAGCTAGATAACAAAAAATGTAGTCTAAGAATTCCCTAAAACCAAGAATGTATCATCCCTTTTGTGTCAATGGGTGCACATAGTATCGTCATCTTTAGTGGGGAAGCAAGTAATTATCAAAGAAGACACTAAGCCAGGAAGGCTATGTAGCACCATTCTTTAGTGGAAAGCTTTTCTTCATAGTCACATGTGATGTGCCAATTTAACAAACAGCAAAGTTTATCAGGAAAACCAGGAAATGCCACAAGGTCAGTGCTCAGAAAAGTGAAGCCTGGATCAGACTGACAAAAAATTGAGCTGTGTGTGGTAACTTCTGTCTCAGTACTTGCAAATACAATCAAGCCCCACCTGGTGCACCACAGCAATGATCTTAACAAAATTATGGGCCTGGTCATCCACCACCCATGCCTTGGGATGCAGCAAGAAATTTCATCAAAGGGTCTAACTGGCTTTCATTTCTTTGTACCACCACCACCACTCATGGAGCCCAACAAGTACCCAAGGTAACCAGAGATAGTATATGCAGGTAGCCATTTTCAACTGCCTTCCAGATCACTGGATTCTTAAATCTCCTTGCTATGTCAAGGTGCCATTCATCAAGGAGCTCTGAAAATAAGCCAATATGCAGACATTCTCCAGTTGTATGACCACCATAAGTCATTTATATAAAATCAATTGACTAAACCATAAGGGATGCCTAATTGATATTCCTTAAAGTTAGATAGAAAAAAATTATATACAGCATTTAAGTTAAATGGAAATAAAACAAACATGGACATTCTACTCTTTTATTTCATTTAACTGCATTCAGTAAATTCATCTTGTGGGTCACTTAAAGTAATTATTGTAATAATTTACATTTTATACAAAGATTGACAACTCCTCTTCATGTTTAGTGCATACATGAATTTCAGGTTGGTATATGAAACATTTAGTCATAATGTTCTCAATGAGATACATAATATTTACTTCTTGTTCCATTCTTCTTGTTCCTTCCTTTCCTTGATCACTTCTTTAAGATATGGCTGCAGATAACGTCCCTTCTCACGGTCCTGAATTTAAAAAAAATACGTATACATAATAGGAATGTTAACATTCAGATATGCACAGTATACCAGATAGCAGAAAAAATAAATATATTACACATTTTACATGAGGATTACATCCTCCTTTTTTTAAATATAATGTTAGCATGTTTGAGAATAGCCAAATGTTAAACTACCTACATTGTACATTTAATGAAGGAACTTAAAAAATTCAAGAAATAGAGGAAATCTTTGTCAAAGTAAATGTCAAAGGAAGATATAAGCTCAACTTGAAATGCCAAACCTACATCCCTTAATAGAGGGGAACCTGGCAGTAGCTAAGCTGTAGCCAGAAAATCTGTTCAGGAACAATTCTAAAGAAGTAATGCTGAATGGAAGAGGCAATTGGAAGTAAAACAGGTAAACAACAGACAGTATCCCCAGAAAGCCAGAAAAAACTGTACTCAAACCCAAAAGGAGGCTGTCTGAAATAACTTTGCTTGGACTACCTCTGTACAATAATATCAGTGCAAGACAACCAACTGCTCACAGTGGTTATCAGTAAGTATAAAGTGCTTAGAGCAACAGCACAGAATCCAGAATGAATTCTGCCAGATTGTAGGTCCAGCCCGTCCTCCAAAAATGGGGAGGTAAATGTAACAGCACAAGTAAGTGCAATTATGTACTATTCATAGCAGTCAGGAATTGTACTTATTTTCATTTAGTATTAAACCGTACTGTCAAATATATTGTGAATATTTGAGTTTACCTGAAAAGCTGAATAGAAAACCACAACCTAACCTAACCTTCTTAGTGTTTGAAGATAAGCATTTTATTGCTTCTTAATTACAATTAGTACTTAACCTATAGCTATATTGATATTACAGTTTTATAAAACTAATAAAACAAAACTAAAATATATCAATAAATTGTAAAGTAACTCAGGATATTTTCAAATTTTGTATAAAATCTCTATTGTTTAATAAAACTGAAAAAGAAATTCCTGATATTTAAAACTTGTGTATAGTGAATTGAACTTTAAAACTTCATCCTAAAATTCTGAGTGTCTTAACAGAAAACGAGGAGAATAAATGGGGAGGTAAATGTAACAGCCCCATAAGTGCAATTATGTACTATGTATGACAGTAAGGAAATGTACTTATTACACTTAGTATTAAACCGTACTGTCAATTCGGAGGATGGGTTGCATTGGAGCGGCCCGCAGGGCCACGTACCCACCACAGCCCGGCTGATCCGGAACTTCTCTTAGAAAACCGTCCAGTTTTCTCTTGAAGATGTCCACGGTTGTTCCGGCAATATTTCTTATGCTCGCTGGGAGGACGTTGAACAACCGCGGACCCCTGATGTTTATACAGTGCTCTCTGATTGTGCCTATGACACCTCTGCTCTTCACAGGTTCAATCTTGCATTTTCTTCCATATCGTTCACTCCAGTACGTTGTTATTTTACTGTGTAGATTTGGGACCTGACCCTCCAGTATTTTCCAGGTGTATATTATTTGGTATCTCTCTCGTCTCCTTTCTAGAGAGTACATTTGGAGAGCTTTGAGACGATCCCAATAATTTAGGTGTTTTATCTCGTCTATGCGTGCCGTATATGTTCTCTGTATTCCCTCTAACTGAAAGATACCTAACAACCCGCCTGACTATTTATACTTCTGGGCAACTTGCTATTGGTTGTTAGAATTAGTAGAGCAATACATGGCAGTTTATACGTGTTTTAAAATTGCTTGTAGGAGGTTTTTGAAGAGGGCTGGATTTACAAATCTCCATTATCTTTTTTCCTCCTGCTATGCCTGGCAGGGATATTTAGAAAAAATCCCCACAACATCAAGAAACAAAAGTTATTGGTCCAGGCTTATAATTATAATATTCTGTAGGAACCAGGGGCTGGATCTATCAAACATTTACACAAGTATGTAATTACAAACTTGTACATATTTTTTAAATCTTTAGTGGCTTTATTTACATTTATTAAACAGTTTATGGGTTCTGAAACACTTAGGAGGCCATTTATAACAATAACAACACTTGATTAGGAACTTGCAATGTTCGTACAGGTTTGTACAGAAAAGATGTACAGGTTTGTAAGTACTGTAGATGAATAAATGCTTGTTGAAACTTGGCCCAGGATATTGCCTAATTGGGCTATGCTCAAACTATATACAGTACAATATTCAACTGTAATTTACTATTGTACAACTTCCTAGGACATCAATTGCAACCTCAAGTAATAGTGTCCCTTTGCCTCAGAGCAGGCGTGTAGATGTTTTTGGATACAAGAAATAATATCAGTAGAAATCTTTCTTATGTCACCACACAACTCTTGAAAATTTTGAGCTACTGCATAAAAGCATTCCTTAGATGTTGCACAGCAATCTACAGTTTATCCTGATGATGTTATCAAGCTGGATTTAAAAATTCAGCAGTTGTATTAATGGCTTCGGCGGGTAGACAGTTCCATGGGGGTTTATAACCCTACGAGTGAAAAAGCATCTTCTGTTTTCTGTACTTTATTGTGGCTCGTTGAGCTTGAAACCACTGGGCCTTGTTCGTATTACATGTGACCTTATAAAGAAGTTGTTTAAATCAATGCCCTCCAAATTGTTCAGTACAGTGGAACCTCAAATTGGTGAACCTCCGATTGGAACACAGTTATCATGCCAGATTTCTCACCCAATTGATGAGCAGCAAGAAGGGATGTGTGGATTTGCTTAGGATATTGGGACTAAGTTCACAGATGGAGGCAACATTACAAGAAATAGTTGGAGCCTTGGGAAAGCCACCGAAAATATTTAACCAAATTCTAAGTTCTTTTTTATTTCCAGTTGGAAAGGTTTTTGTTCAGTAAAATATGGGCCCTTTTTCCTTTGAAAATGAGATTTCAAGGCGATTTCATGATTATCGCTCAGGAACTTTTTGTTGGGCGTTCTGAATTTTTTTCTTGGGCAAATGGTAACCCTTACTATGGGTTAGGGTTAAGCATATCACATGCCTTAATCACATTTTTAATGATTTTTGTAGACGAGCACAACATTTATTTAACAGTAAGGGGCCTTGAGAAAGCCATTGAGCATATTTGAAACCAAATTCTATGGTCCATTTTAATTTTGAGATTCCTTGGTTATTTTTCACTAATATGGGTCCGTTTTTTTCTTTGGAAATTATTATATAGCTAGGGCATGCGAAATATTCTAGATGTAGTTAAATTTTTTTCACAGATAAGTTCTCTTGGTAGATCTCCCAATCCTGAGCACTCTAGGTGCAAACTCTGTGAGCAGGAATTGGCACTACATCACCGAATGCCCAGTTATCAGACCATTTAGACCCGTTGGCATGAGGAACCTGGAGCTTTGTACAGTAATTACTTTATTCACTCTCGTGTTCTTGAAGATATCCTCATAATGCACCCAGAGTCTGCCAGTGCAAACAACATATCACATGCCTTTGTATAACTAACCATCTTGTGTGATGGGGATTTTAGCATCACGTAGCTAGCTTTTTGACACACTGTACTTCCTTTCATATAGTCCAGGGTAGCTGCACAAATGCAGATGTGCCTAAATGTGTTAATAAAAAAGAAAAATGACAGGTTGAAATTATATTTTTGCTCAATGAAATCAACCCATACAGCATGGGAAATATTTTTGTAGATGGATTCAACATCACAAAAAATAGTTGGAGCCTTGGGAAAGCTATAGAGAATATTTAAAACCAAATTCTATGGTTTGTTTTTATTGTGATTTGGGAAGGTTGTCTTTCACTCAGGTATGGCCCTTCTACCTTTTGAAAATGAGTTTTGAGGCTGGGGATGCGAGAAATAAGCTAGATGTAGTTAAATATTTTTGCAGGCATGTTCATTTGGTTGTTGTCTATTATAGACTGAGGTGAAAATTTTGCCAAGTGCAATAGGGCATGGAAAATGCATCCTCAGGTTGCAGTGAATTCCCCCCACTGCAACAAACTGGGGTTGGTTGCATATAGTTTGTTTAATCTCAGTTGTTGGTTGGTTGGTTGGTTGATTACCTGGTTGATGGGGGTTCTGAGAGGAGTTCTATTCCCCAAGCTCGGCCCAAGGCCAGTCTTGACTTGTGAGAGTTTGGTTCACTAGGCTGTTGTTTGGAGCGGCCTGCAGGCCCACATACCCACCACAGCCCAGTTGGTCCGGCACTCCTTGGAGGAAACAATCTAGTTTCCTCTTGAAGATGTCCACGGCTGTTCCGGCAATATTTTTTATGCTCGCTGGGAGGGTGTTGAACAACCATGGGCCTCTGGTGTTTATACAGTGTTCTCTGATTGTACCTATGGCACCCCTGCTCTTCACTAGTTCTATTCTGCATTTTCTTTCATATCGTTCACTCCAGTACGTTGTTATTTTACTGTGTAGATTTGGTACTTGGCCCTCCAGTATCTTCCATGTGTATATTATTTGATATCTCTATGGAGGGCTTTGAGACGATCCCAATAATGGTGGGTACTGTTCCTAGTTGTACTGTATTTTAAAAAGCTTCGATGAGATCAGCCCTGTCATGTCTAGAGTGTTAGCTCTGTGGCCCTCAGCTGTTCCTTGTACAAGAGCTAACTTAGTTGTGCATTGATTTTTGCTGACCTGTGTTCAACTTTCTCCAAAGCAGCCATCTTTCTGAAGATGGGGGTTTCCATGCCCGAGAGAAGGGATTGGCAGGGAGAAATTTGATTGGGGGGGAAGGGGAAGCCTGCTGATCTTGCTAAAAATCTGAAATCGAGACCTGTGCCGATATTTGTGCGTCTGAGACTAGATTTTCGCTGCCGCCACATAAGCAGCCTACCAAGGTGAAGTCAAACGAGATTAACACCCAAACATGAAAATATGTCCAGAGGCAAAACTGACCGAATCCAGCAGGGGTCAAGCAGAAAGGGTAACTTCTGGTCACAATAAAATATAAAGCATTCCTAATGTAACAAGCCATATTTTAAAAATACCCAGGACTGCATCATGATGTCCAACACAATGAGTCAAAACAATTGGCCACGAAACAATAGATGGCCAGATCTGCTCACTTTGACCTTGGCAAGAGCTCTAGACTAAGGCAAGAGCTCTAGACTATCTCTTAATATAAACCAGTCAACACGGTAACAAAACAGTTTGTGGCCTCAGACACAAGATGAGGAAAGGCCAAAGGTACCCACCCAGTACACAAGTACAGTACTAAACAGGCAACTACCATCAGCTGTAAATAGACCAGAATATTACAAGGACACTTTCACACCATGGGTTCATTGCACACCATTGCAAAAACATGGATTCATTGCACACCATAAAACAGGGCTTCATAGGACGAAACAAGTCACAGTGTGGCACTGGTACTAGAATATTACCCCGTTTGTCTGCACAATACTGTTCCTACAGAGACAATGTTAACTTACCCAATGGAATACCATAAGGTATCACAACCAAAGAAAACTAATTGCTAGAAATTTAGTAAAATAAGAAATTTAACCAATTTCTAAATATCTAAACCATTCTGGGATCTTTCATTACATTTATTATGCTTTGAATGAAAATGTGGCATAGGAAGAAAGTAATGGTTTTGTTTATCAGCATTTAAAGTACAACACAGATGGCTTAGATATGAATGAACAATTCTAAACTTTTAAATACAGTATCCTGCAATGTGGAAGACAAAAATTAATCCCTACCTCTTCAAAACTAATCCACTGCTCCTTGGGAAGTATATTCTTCACCAGGGAAAGTTGAAGTGCACGTTGCATTCTGAAATTGCGTTCATCCTTTATATTTTGTGGTAAACGCTCCAAAGCTTCTATGACATCTGGCGTCTCGTGCAAACAGTCATCATAGTACAAGCCTGTTCAGATAAATAATTTTTTGTGAGTTACAATATAAAGTACCTATGAATACAGTAAATGACAAAATTAAGATAGGTACATATAATCAGAAGCTTATAACTAATTTTTTTATTAAAATTAAATGCTAAAGTTTAAGAACCACCACACATTCAGAATGTAGTGATAAAATAATGACACCAAATACTGTACTAGTACCTGAATTGGAAGATTAAATACCAAAAATTACATTAAAATGTAGTAAGGCACCTGTCTGAATATTCCAGCATTGAATAATGAAAGTCATCTTTGAGGTGGGCCACGCAATAGTTAGAAGCAACCAGAACTTTGGGGAACATACCAGGATTCTATGACCAATGTGCACCTACCAAGGACCAACACCAGAAATTTAGCCACTCAAGAGGGGTGAAGGAAAACCTGAGGATCAACGACCACTACAAAGAAAAGGCCAAAGAAAAACTTGAGAGAAAAAAGAAAAGGCCCACCATAAGCCAAAATTTTGTACTCCAAAACAAGCAACTGTTGGGAGGAATTTGTTACTCTGAAGAAAAACGATGCAAGCAATCATTACAGTGGAAAAATCCCTACATAGACACACTCACCCACCACCAGATGGCAGCCCAAGATCTCCGTCAGCTAGCCAGCCAATTCATGGTTGACCAGAATCAACCTCTCCTAAACTTGATGAGAAAGAATGGAAATGAGTGGGGACAGCGAGCTACCAGAAAGAGGCATTTCATTACATTCAACACTGGATTTTTGGGAGGGCCCATGTGGTAGCTTCTTTATGCTCCTCTCAATGGAGTTTCTTCATTGAAGAAAACTAAACCTGAAAAGGAAATACGAAAAGACGACCAGGGCTTATGTGTGAAGAGAGAATGGTAGTCAGAGAGATGGGAAAAAGGCAGAATCACTCAGTTGGGTCAGAAAACACGACAAATGTTGTGGCTAAGGAACAAACAAATAAAAGGCCACTGCCCGGTTGGATACCCAGAAAACTAACCTGGATATTTGTCATAAACATACTGGTATTGGCAAAGAAGACTATGATTCAGAACAAAGAACCAAGCAAACCAGATAAGCAAAGCATTCATTGCATAGCACAAATAATGTTGAAATAGTAACAGGGAACAACAAAATTGATAAGAATGAATTCTCGAGACCTGGAACTTCATGAACAAGAGGTCATAGATTTAAGGCAACTAAACAAAAATGCCAAAGATATATAAGAAAATTCACTTTTGCAAACAGAGTGGTAGATAGTTGTAACAAGTGAAGGTGATGGAGGTCAAGACCATCAGTGGTTTCAAAACCACATATGACAGACAGCTAGGAAGATGGGACACCATGAGCATAGCTCTCATTCTGTAACTACACTTAGGTAATTGCTCACATTTATCAGAAAATTTTACCCCCTCCAGAATACTGCTGTTTCCAGAACGGCCTTTTATGTGGGACTTTCAAACCCCCTTTTTTCAGGGCCAGACAAATGTAGTCAACCCAACCATCTCTTTCCTGTAAAATCTGTGGCTATATCACAAAGTAAATGATTGCCTACCTGTGGATAACAAATATGAAAATATTAAACAGTACAAAAGCAGACATCAATCCTAATAAAAGAGTGGATGGCTACCTTGGTGATAAAACTCTGGAGCAGTCATCACATCAAGTATTAGACAAGTAAAAGTAGCTTCCATCTTGGATACACTTCATAATATCAGTTGAAAGATCAGTTTTATGATCATGCTTATGTTTTGTAGGTTTCAAGTAAATATGATTAGGTATCTTCAAAATACAGTATCTCGCACAAAACCTGACAGGAAATTTTTTTTTAGCATGGATAGCCTAGATGAGCAGTCACTTGCGGACTAGTGGTCTGACAATTTTATTTGTGTATTGTATGTAACTGTATTTTCTGTATGTTATATTTAATGGCATCAAATAATTTGACTTTAATAACTATCATTTCTTGTTTGGTGGACCCGGGGATTCACATCAGTTGTCCACGGGATTTAAAATTATGAATTTGGTGATCTGCAAGCACTGAAAGGTTGGCGACCACTCACCTAAATCACAACTTACCATATTGATTGAAGCCTGAAGCTCTGAATGCAAATCTCTTCAAAGAATTGTTGAGCTGGGCTGTAAAATAAAACAATATATTAACAATACAGTATTATAAAGCTAGACTTTTAGCTGAAATCAATTTTATTTTCAACCTTGCCATTTAACTTTCAAATATTGTGTGTCTTAAAGACTTGTAGCTGCAAATATAAAATTATATGCATGAGACTGAAAACCAAGAGGGTAATGAAATAGGGTTTACACAAGGTTTATGTTTAGAAATGGATAATCCTGAAAATTTAATTTTCATAATGAATGAAACACAAATTTAAACTATACATTTACACTATTTTCATGAGGAACTGTTGCTAATAAAACATTTATTTCTCGACATGGTTCAGATGTCTATTTGAGAAATTTGTTCAGTGAGGGAAATTGTGAATTTATCAAATTAAAATAATTTAGGTGACAGAATTGCAGATGGCAGAGCCTAATCATTCATTCATTACCACGACCCAATGCAGTAACACTGTATGGTGAAAGTTCTGATAATTAAAAATGCTTCATCTGCATACATCATATTTGACATAATAAATTTACCTGAGGGCCCACTAACACTAGTGGCCTAGACAAGGACAGGAAGCCGGTGGCTTGTCGAAGGTCCCCCCCCCCCCCCCATTTGCCCCAATCTTTTCCAGTTAGATTTTAAAGTTTAACAGAGTTTTGACGTTTACGGCTTTGGCAGGTAGGCGGTTCCATGGGTTTATAACTCTGTGGGTGGAAAAGCATCTCCTGTTTTCAGTCCCCCATTGTGGCTTGTCGAGCTTGAAACCATTGCACCTTGCTTGTGTTACATATGACCTTTTGTAACATAAACAAGGAGCAATAGTTTCAAGCTCAAGCTACAATGTAGGACTGAGAAAGTACTCTCTGTATGATCATTTTATGAGAACTGTACTCTAACAGCTGACTGTTACACCCCTGCGAACATTTTTACCTCGACAACTGCATAGCCCCATTTATATATTTATTGACTAAACAAGGTGACATCACACAATCATCACATACTAATATATCAATATAAAACCCATCACTTAACTATAGTGTGTTTATATGCTCTATATTAGAGCATATAAACCTAATATTATATTATAATAATAATGTATATCAGAGCATATAAACTTAACCTAACAAAAACAATTTCGTAAATTTTATATATATATATATATATATATATATATATATATATATATATATATATATATATATATATATATATATATATATATATATATACATACAAGGACAGGAAGCCGGTGGCTTGTCGAAGGTCCCCCCCCCCCCATTTGCCCCAATCTTTTCCAGTTAGATTTTAAAGTTTAACAGAGTTTTGACGTTTACGGCTTTGGCATATATATATATATATATATATATATATATATATATATATATATATATATATATATATATATATATATATATACACAGTACTCTGGATAGTGTGTCATACACCAAAGCTGCAATGTGGTGGCATCTCTGGGGGATTATCTTTACATACTACTGCAACAAGTTGGGTATGGGGTCTATAAAACCTAAAAACCTAAACCCTTCGTTCTGCCCGAAACGCTGCGCGTACTAGTGGTTTTACAAGAGTGTAAATACTGTACTATGCTATGTATTCTCACAAACCCAATGTACCTTCTTGTATATATATAAATAAATAAATAAAACTATTCCCTGTCATTAAGTACGTTTGGGCCTGGTCAACAACTGGATGGATAACCGGCCGTACAACCTGGCCCATAGCTAGGGGTAAGCCGCCATAGGCCACCACACAAGCATCATGACCGCCACCACGGTAAACCTGCACAATAAACCCACACCTTCAGGAAACAAACATAAATAAAAAACAGCTGATCAAAACCGGGTGGACACGGACCCTATAAGGCGGAAATACTCTCATATATTTCAGCTAAAACGGTATCAACACAAGGCCATAATTATGCCAACAACCCTTATTAATCTCCTCGGATACTACATGATTCGACATTTTACGCAAAACATGCAACGTACCGAGAAAACCGACAGATTTTACAGCAGCCGCCATATTGGTCTTGAGGTCAGACGACACCACAACTCCCACACACACACCAACACACCTTTTATATTCTGCTCCGCTTATCATATTCACATATATCCTACACTATTGGCAAAATGTATATATTAATTTGCCTTTTAGTAAATATTCTAAACAAGTAAATTAATGAAATATAAATCATTTTAGCCGGCTTAATATTATCCAAGCGATTTTGTATATAAAAAAATTATATTATATATTATGTAACTAATATTATAATATTCATTTAATATAATTTTTATTATACTAAACGTATAATATATACTATTTTTAACCTAAAATGGGTACCACCTCTGGTGCAAGTGTAGGGACCCCATACCCTCTGAGAAGAAAATAAAGAGTACTTAGAGACTTGTGGATTCCAATTTCTTTCTTTATTATGCACCCCATACCCATCCCGTGGGCGGTGGTGTAAAGGATTACAGAGGCACATAATCGGTTCAGGAACTGAACCCTCTAGTTCGTTTAGCTAAGCAAATAACAATATTTGACGCTAGTTACAAAATTGTCAATGTTGTATACACATGTACACACCCTCATACATACATGTACATATATATATACAAAGATTAATCCAGTGTAATTGGCCTATTATGTTGGACATTGTCTTTATACCACCGCCCACGGGATGGGTATGGGGTGCATAATAAAGAAAGAATGGTGGCACTACACTTAACTATACATAGAAAAACAATATATAATGATTTTAACTTATATATGAAAACAATCCAATTTTTAATATGCATTATGTTAAAATTGATTAATGCGTCTGGGAGGAAGGCCACCACTTTAAGAAGTCTAGCCTGATGACGGGTTGAAATACAAATAATTGCCAACTGAACTTAAACACCTACTGTAGACCTAAATATGCACTATATGTTAATATAAAATAACAATAATTTATAATTGCTAAAAATCTTATTTTGAGCACACAGTGCGTTAAAATTGATTCATGCGTCATTGGGGTCGACCTCTGGATGGACGAACATTGCCCGAGGACATGTTGCCAGATTGGTAAGACTTCTCAACCAGTTCGCATACAGGTTGCCCGTTGGTGCATTGGGAACACTTTCTCGTCTACAGACAGCACCAGTCAGTTTGACTCTAAGTTGTACTAGCAATGTTAGATCTCTCATGATCTTTACACAGAAGGTCTTGTTTAGCTGTACAATTCCTTCGCATGCTTTAGCTTTCTTATCAGTTATATCATGACCCGGAGGCTAATGTGAGATAGGATCCATAGAAGACAAATTATGACTCCATCACTGCATTGTACTAGTTGCCAAGGGAGTTGTTCGTTTATACTCGCGTCCGAAGCCAGGATCTATAGCGATCGTCTCCTGCCAGTGTACGATAACCAAACCCTTACTCTTATATCTATACACAGCTATACATGATTCCATATTTGCTATTTTTATTTTACTGGGATACAATGGAATAAAATAAATTACACATTGATTTATGGGAACTAAAGTCGAAAGCGAATACATTGAGAGGCTGATTCACGCCTTGTTTCTACGCACATAAAACTGTTCGGGCTGACGCACGATAATTATGCCCATCACTTTACTCCCTGTGATATATAGAATTTAAAACTAAATTATCCATACATATATATGTTATATAATGACACAATAATATTGTGAAAACTTTATTGTCTGGTCAAGAACTGATAACAGAATGATTGTACAACATGTTTTCCTTGACTCTACAACTCCAAACAGCTGTGAGTCACATCAGCTGCTGGTGCTGGTACGTGTTGTCCTGTGACTGTGGTTAACGCCTAGCTACAGATCCCTTTGTCTCGAGGCTTCAGAAGCGATTGTTGACTTCATCTCGCTTGTGCTTATTTATAGGAGGCAAGACTCAAGAATACATCCAATGGTTAAGAGAGAGAGCACCTACGAGACGCGTCTTCGTCGGAACGGCCTAGGAGCCCTCCACCAGACATACAAGTGGCTTCATATGACTCAAGACTTGCACGATCATCTCGTGGTCTTGGAAGGCAGTGAATGTAGAGAATGTAGAGGACTCTAATATATTTTTGTATCGTTACTCTGCAGTTCTTAGTTCTCAGTTACGAGCAATCAAGGTTAAGCAACTCGCAACGCCTGGAATAGGATTTTCTCAAAATTTGTTAACATACCATTTCTAATCATTTTGCTGTGAGTAATTTAGTGTTTATCTTATCTAACTAATAACCAAGGTGTAATTTAACACAGCAGAGTATAAAATATTTTAAGCTATTTGAAATTGAACCGCATATTTGACGAAACTTATTTTCAGTCAGTTGAATTAAAATTAATTTGTTTGGCCTATAGTACCGATTTGGGTATTTCAAAACAGAATTTAATAGAAAATACATTTGTAATATTTGGTCAAAAGCCATATAATAAAGTCATTATGCTGTCCCTACGAACCATTGTGAGCCGGGTATCTCCATTCTGTGGGTCACTAGTGCCCTTGGAGCTCAGGAGCTCTCTCCCAGCCCGAGGTACTCACACTAACACACTCCGATCTGCCAAACTCAACACGCCTCCCAAAAGAGTTGTTTTCATCTCTCAGTCGACGAACGTATACGCGAATCTTGCGTTTGAAGATTGGCTGTACAAAAATTGGTCATTCGACAAGAGGAATGTTCTGTTCCTTTGGCGGAACTCGCCATGTGTTGTAATAGGAAAGCACCAAAACCCGTATGTGGAGGCCAACCTCAAGTATTTGGAAAGTGCTCGAGTCCCAGTGGCCAGGCGCAACAGTGGAGGAGGAGCTGTCTACCACGACGAAGGAAACCTCAACTGCACCTTTTTTACTACTAAAGACAGGTAATGTGACAAGTTTTGTGGTGCGTGTGGGTGTACGGTTCAGATGCTTGGGGCTAGCCTCGCCTAACTTTGCAAGGTAATTTGTGATTGGCGAGTGTCAGGCTTATTTGGATCGACCCTCATGTCCCCTTTTTAAGAAGGATTTATTCATATTACAAATCCTAGCAACTCTTGTGGAGTATTAAATATAGATTTCATTGCCCATACACGATAACATTCAACGTCAATAACACTGAATGTTACTGGGTGAGAAACCAGGTAGGAAGGAGGGATTGATATATATATATCCATATATATATATATATATATATATATATAATATATATATATATATATATATATATATATATATATATATATATATATAACCATCTTTGTAACCCATATGTAACTCCTTTTTTGTAACAAAGTTCAAATAAAGTAAATATATATGTGTACATACAAAAGAATGGGGGTGGTAGGAGAAGATAATATTAGTGTTCAGTGAGAAACCACAAGGTCTCCTCTGAATACTTTTTATTTTCTTCTCCGAGGCTATGGGTCCCCACATTGGCACCAGAGGTGGTACCCTCACAAACTAATAAAAAAAAATATATATATATTATATATATATATATATATATATATATATATATATATATATATATATATATATATATATATTTATATATATATATATATATATATATATATATATATATATTTATATATATTTATATTTATATATATTTATATATTTATATTTATATTTATATATATATATATATATATATATATATATATATATATATATATTTATATATAATATATATATATATATAATATGCAGGCGATGAGTCACAATAACGTGGCTGAAGTATGTTGACCAGACCACACACTAGAAGTTGAAGGGACGACGACGGACCGAAACGTCGTCGTCCCTTCAACTTCTAGTGTGTGGTCTGGTCAATATATATATGTATATATATATGTGTGTATATATATATATATATATATATATATATATATATATATATATATATATATATATATATATATATTCCTTCTGAAGATGTATTATTTAAATACGAAAGTACTTAAGGAAATTCCTGTTTCAATTCTTGCTCCGTGGTCTGACACTGTCATATATATATATATATATATATATACACACACGATGAATCACAATAACGTGGCTGAAGTATGTTGACCAGACCACACACTAGAAGGTGAAGGGACGACGACGTTTCGGTCCGTCCTGGACCATTCTCAAGTCAAATACACAACGTACCCAACATGAACTTGAGTCCTGGCTTTGTTGCTGTTGACTCTTCCCTTGCACAGTATATACTCAAATGCTCTAATCTTTCTAAAAAACGTGACCTAACATAAGCATACCTTCCCTCATGTCAACACCGCTCCTGTGCCAGGTAAGCTCACTACGGGCTCACCATAATGCTACTTGCCGGCTCCTGTGCCAGGTAAGTTACGGGCTCACCATACCCCGTGCTACTTGGAACTTGTCCCGAGTAGCTGAAGCTATAACAACAACAGCAACAACTTCCTTCATCACAATCGACTTGAGAATGGTCCAGGACGGGCCGAAACGTCGTCGTCCCTTCACCTTCTAGTGTGCACCAGACGGCACCGCTCCTGTGCCAGATAAGTCCACTACGGGCTCACCAAAGCCCGTGCTACTTGGAACTTGTTCCGAGTAGCTGAATCTATAACAGCAACAACAGGTAGGGTGAGGTGAGTGTAGCTCTTACTATTTCCCTCTGGTTCAATGGAAGTCCACCGAACAATTGTATGCTCGAAACCGAATTCATCTGGATGTTGATTACTGGTGTCAGCTCCCGAACGAACACAGCCTCGAGCATACAAAGCATCCTACGTTCGTCGGTGCGTGTGATTTTTGTCCTATCTTTCACTGTCTTGGCGACTAAGGATGGTGTGGTATTGAGAATGATATTGCTTAATACCTCCGTCTTGCAATTGAAGTGTAAGTCGTCTACTCAGTGTATTAGACGTGTGTCCACTGTAGCATATATTTCATAGTGCACAGTCTCCAGAGTTGCATTTGTAATGATACACTACATTGGTACACCTCAGTTAGTCAGTGGAGGCAGAGATGTTATTTCTCATAATGAGGGAAGATGAACGAGGGTTGTTATAATAAATGACAGGACGCATCCTTACTCTACACTGCAAGGTTTGCGATTCCTATCAATTATGTCTCTTATCACCATCTCGTCCTTCTTGTATGCCTGAGTGAATGTATTTTTATAATACACTACAATGTCTTCTCTTGGGGGCCAATTTTCCACCCCTGGGGCCTGTTATCTTCAGTCAGATGGCGGCCTAGCTTATTAAGATTTATCGAATTCTGTATTGCTGTAAGCGTTGTTTACAACAATTTGGCGGATTCGTTCAAGTTCGTGGGGCAAGAGCTGCCAAGAAGAAAATGAGAATCGAGGTCATTACTCCGTCCGTGAAGGACCAGGTGATATGGTAATCTGAGAACATAGGACCAAATAACCAAGACTCCCTCCTCTCGACAGTGTAACTATCTCGCCTATCATTCATAAGATGATAAGAATAATGGAACCTGTTGGGCCTATTGGTCCTATTGGCCTATTGGTCCATGCGAGGAAGCTCTTATTTAATAAACCCAGCCAAACTGATTCAGTGAAGGGGCAAAAGTAACATCCACTGCAATACATAAATGAACACCATCCTTTGCATACATTTCATTATGGTCATACAAGTAGTCGCAATTACCAATGAATGCTATTGTGTTTGCATTACAATATTTGTATAGTCGGCAAGCGACATCATCAGCTCTACACATTTAATTTCCAACTCCCGTTCTAGAGAGAATGTCACCTATGATTGCGATTTCTTCATTGCTCTTGACTAATAAATGATGTATGGCTGTCCTTAACTTTTACATTAATGGCTCCTCCCATTTAACACTATATCATGTTCAACTGCGCTAATACAAATACTATAATAATTAACGGATAATGGCTCCTGGAAGGCAAGCCCTTAATATATTTTTAGGGAAAAAATTCTGGGAACCTTTTATGATGTACAAAACACTATGAACCATTAGCCTGCGACTTATGTCGTATGACTTACAAGGGCACACAGGATCAAACTTGGCCTTCGTCGTATATAATTGATTAAGTTTTTGTTGGGACCTGTGTAAATGTATACTTCAGGCTTATACAGAGATCCCCCCACTCCCCAAGTTCGAACAACTGACTATCCCTAAAATGCAACTCCTCAACAGTTGCCTAACTCCCAGGTACCTATTTGCTGCTAGATGAACAGAGGCATCAGGTGAAAAGAAATGTGTCCAACCATTTGTCCCGCCAGGGGATCGAACCTGGGCTCCTCAATTGTTAGTTGAGAACATAGCATATAAATAGCAACATTTGAGATCTCTGGGTATTATTATATAAGATACCCTGTTAGTATATACAAGTTTAATTGGAAGAATTTTCCAGTATGTGCGATCAGCATGCTGGACTCCATATACAAATATTCTAATTTCTGTCGTATTAGGGACTCATTCGTCCTATAGATTGTTCTTCTAAAATCATTTGTCCTTGCGTCTGCTCCTCACAGACGCTTTTTTGTCGAATCGCCTCTTGCTGCATCAACCCGGCCTCTTAAATATAACGCCGCTTTTCGCTCGTATGCGCGCTATGGCCAAAAATAGACGTAATTTGCAATGAAATTGGCTTACGAAAGTGATGTACTGTCCTGTTTTCTGTTTGAGTCCTCTGGCTTACTCGGTAAGGTTAGGAGAGGAAACTTTCAATTGACGTTTTGAAAATTAGGTGAATTTCTTGCCCTCTTAACCTACCAGAGGACCCTTAACTTACTATTTTGGAAAACAAAAATCCATTTTTTTAAATTTTCAAATTACGTCCATATTCGGCCATACGGGCAAACGGCCAAATTCAGACGTAATTTGTAAAATTTTAATTTGTATTGGTCACGCCCAATGCGAATCTTAGTTTGGGCTTTGTTTCTGTTGACTCTTGCCTTTCCCAGTATAGAATTAAATGCTCTACCCTTCTTAACAAATATGATTCTGCAGTCTCCGTGGTGTAGTGGTAAGACACTCGCCTGGCGTTCCGCGAGCGCTATGTCATGGGTTCGTATCCTGGCCGGGGAGGATTTACTGGACGCAATTCCTTAACTGTAGCCTCTGTTTAACGCAACAGTAAAATGTGTACTTAGGTGAAAAAAACGATTCTTCGTGGCAGGGGATCGTATTCCAGGGACCATAGGATTAAGGACTTGCCCGAAACGCTACGCGTACTAGTGGCTGTACAAGAATGTAACAACTCTTGTATATATCTAAAAAAAAAAACAAAAAAAAAATGATCTGACTGATTTAACCCCTCTAGGGTCTTTTTTTCACTGTCTCATATGTTATTGTCACTATTTCACCTCATTCTCTTCGCCATTTGGCCTTCTGCAGTTTTCGCTTATTCCTAAGCTTCAGCCTCATTTCTTCACTTCTAAATTTTCCTTCTAACTTTTCTTATATTTTTACCTTATTCCCATACTTCTTTCTTATTCCGTTACTTAAAACCTATTTCTATTTTTTAACCTCGTTTACCTTCTCACTGTTAGTGTTTCCTAGAGGCTGTAGATTTCTTCGAACTCCGATGGTGGACATGAATCGAGAATACAGCGGGCATTTCCCCTCTAGATCGCTACACTGAGGCGCTGGAAGAGAAAGCTCATCGCTCTAGGGGTCTCTTGTTGTTTCGATGAGCCTGGAACCAAGATTCTTTATGAATAGACACACACGCCTCATTATTATAATATATATATGTAAACAAGCTTGAATGGTCCCCAAGCATATATGCAATTGAAAACTCGACACCGCAGAAGTGACTCGAACCCGGACCGCCAGGAGCACATTGCAACTGATGTACATGGTGCCTTAAACCACTCGACCATCAGTGACCATACAAACGGCGGTGATAGCCGAGGCT